TCTATACTGTTATCTGTGAGATGTGGTTCTCACTGAGGACGTTTCATGCTTGTCATGATGTGAAGATGTTGTCAGCACGCTCGCCTCCGCCTGCCGCCGTTGTCTGGTGTCTCTTTCCTCATATCGTCCCGCGTCAGTTGCTCCATTGCAGCTCCATTGCTGGATTGTTTCAACTCCTTACAGTGCATTGTATTTTTATAAGCTGTTGGTAGGTTTTGCATGTTAAACTGTGATTTTCAAAATAACTACAACTATCGAAGTATACAGTGTTTCCCTCTGACATGCAGTGGATCGAATCGATATACATTTCGATCCTCAAGAGACGCATTACATTATGTTGATTCAGCTGACGCTTTTATCTGAAGTGACTCTACAATAAATGCATTCAACCAGGTGGGTACAACCACAGCACAAATAATAATCATGCACGTACATCAACGTTCAGTAAGCAAATATGCTGAACTACTTCCTGTGCCACTTTTAGAGACAATTAGAGAAATATTAACTTTTTATTTGCCTCCCGTGACCGCTAAGGCTGGAGGCATTATGCTTTGTTGTTGTTATTCCCATTCCTGGAACGCCATTACCCAGGAACACCTTCAGGAAATGTCCTCACTTTATGCAGAAACTTCCACTGAATTCAAGGATAAACTGATAGGATTTAAGAGGTTTAAGGTCAATGTCACTGTGACCTCACAAAACACTTGTTTGGCCAAAACTCAAGAATTAGGGTTAGGATGTATGAGGCATTGATTCATGGATGTAAACTGAGAGTAGACCAGCTGGCGAAGGCATACAACCGAGAGAGGATCATTCCAGTTTTTAACTTTATGGGACAAGTTAAACAACATTTTTCTAAAGGTGAAAAGCAAACACGTGAGTAGAAAGCCGAATTCTTGTAGCATAGTGTCCACAGTGGGGCTTCTGCATTTTGGATCTACAAACATGCCAATAGCTACCGACACAAGTCAAAGCTAACCCCAGCCATTGATTGCTAAAAATGTACCCAAACAAATTGAGTTATACATGACCAAAAACCATAGTTAAACTTGTAGGGGGATAAACTCATCCCTTTTATTGCCAGAAGTAAGATGAGAAGATGGATACCACTCGTGTATAAAAGTGGCCTCAATCGTCTAAGCCTTAATAAGTGAATAATGTTAATTACATTGTCAAATTATTCCCTTTTTGTTCTTCAGGAACATAATCAGTTAATCTGCAGCAATAAAGGCCGTTAAATCTGTTCAGCGTCAGCGTCCTTCCGAGGAGAAACCAGCTGCTCAGTGGAGAAAGCCTCTTAATTGCTGTTTGAGAGACATTTGCGATTGCTTGAATAAACAGTAATCTCTGCTCACTCTCTTTCTGTTCACTCCATTTCACCGTGTTTTATTGGTATAGTGAGTAATAACAGTGCTGCCGCAGGAGGAAGACAAAACATCCTCTCTTTTTCGGTGCTTCTCCCTGACCTTGATATCCTGAATACAGAGAACACTCCAGCTCTGCATCACCTTCACAGTGTGAGAGAGTAGTTATCAGTCAGAGGAGCTGACCTTCAGATAAGTGAAGTGCCGTGCTGTCATTTAACACAACCCGAGCTCAAGAGTCAAAAGTGTTTTGCCAATGAGGGCTTGTGGTTGTGAGGTGTAAAAGATTCCATGGGAGTTGGTCAACATCTTCTGAATACCTGACCACCACTTGTTTGACTCCCAATGCCTTCCAGTGTGTAAACTTGGCCGTGTATATGTTGTGCTGCAGATATGGTGACTTGTTGAGCAGCTTCAGTATGAGTTAGCGTTTCCCTTCGCTGGGCTATTTTGGTATGTAGTTGTAGCGTTTCATGTTGCCCGACCGGACCAGACACTTTTGCTGGCTCGGGAATGTGGACACGAGGCAGTTTACTCTCAGAGGTCGGAGGAAGCAGACCCTTGAAAGGAGAAATGCTTCGAGAGGAACAAAGAAACTGCCAAAAGAAGAAAAAAACCTTTTCTCTCAGTGCAGTGGCTGGAGTCCCCAGAGGCTGAACAAGTGCAGCAGAGATCCAGTTTGTTGTCATCTTAATGCACAGATGGTGAAAGATGGTGCTCTGCTGAAGCACTCAGCTGACGCTCTTCTTTAGACTGAAACCAACTCTTTTTTTTCTAGGCTTATGGGTCAACACGTGTTATTCAACCTTGAGTTTATGGTAATACTCTCATGTTAATATACAACCACAATAAGATGTTCAGATAAACAAGGTGTGTCTATAAAGCACCTCTCACCCTCTCAACTATTCACTTTTCAATTGGACAGATACTTGAATCTGAAATTCAGAAAATGTATGAAACAACTCACATGATATCATTCAGTCTGAATGATATCATGTGAGTTGTTTCATACATTTTCACAAGGTAACTGAAAATAAATTAAATCTAATAATGTTAGGTAACACCATCTGTAGCCTTCACAGTGTTGCATCTCAAGTTTTTAAAAGCAATATTGCAAAGCTGAAAGTTCACCTAGGTTGCCTTCATGTAAAACTGAAAATATAAACCTTTAAACTCTTTTTGGTCTTTTTAATTGTTACTCTTGTCCAGACAGGCCCAGAAGAGATGTTTTTATTCTTAAAGCGATATTAATGAAAGTGATGGAAAAAGCTGATGCAAGCCTTCATCAGTCACTATGCAGGAGGAATGATGCTTGTGACTTAAAAACCTTTTAATCCACACATGGACCTAAAAAATACTTATTTGTATACTTTTCATATTAAAGTATTTATATCATATATTAATATTGTTGTATACTGTTGATACAGATTGTTAAGCCCATTTAATCTAAATGGGTGAATTGTGATATTGCGCTATATCAATTAATTGTACTGGACTTGTATATAAAATTATAAATGCCTAATATAAAATTCAGGAAACAATAAATAATGCCCATCGAAATGTGGGGAAATATCCTGGATGCTTACTTACACAGAAAAGCTTAGGAATTTCATCTTAATAAATGACTTAATGCAATATCAAAATTGTTTGATTAATTTCATTTAGACCAGTCAATTTAAAGACAAGTAATATTATCACATAACCTTATCTCTTCTTTATGTAATCCTACTTGCATTGGATTATTCGGATTATGACTGAAGAGTCAGCTTTTTCACAGCGGGAGTGATTGACACTTTTTGGCTACTTCTCTGAAACAGTGATTATTCAGCCAATCACATTCACTGATTATTTGTTCCATCTTCTTCTGACCTTTACTCAACCTCTTGGTCATCTCCCCCTCATCAGATGTCCAGGCTTTTTGACTTGCTGTTTCAAGTGTGAGCTTTCAGCTTTAAAGAACAACCAATTGGATTCTTTTCAAGCAAGTTTTGCAGCTTCTCTCCCTCCAGGCTGTTGACAGCCAGCAGAGCTTACAGAAATGCAGGGTTGGCAGTATGAGGAGAATTCTCTCAACTACAGAAGCGTCTGGTGGGGTCTGACTGCAGGGACAGAGGGGAAGGGGCAGCTTCTGTTCCACAGATTCAGGGTGCTGAAGTTAAGAGGAGAGAGGAAGAGAGCAGGGAGAGGCNACAGAAAATACCTTTCTATGCTGCCCCAAAACGCCTCGTTGGAGATTTCTCATCTTCCATTGTTTTCTTCCTGGGTTCTGAGACGTGTGAATACCCAAAATTTGGGTATTCACACGTCTCAGAACCCAGGAAGAAAACAATGGAAGATGAGAAATCTCCAACGAGGCGTTTTGGGGCAGCATAGAAAGGTATTTTCTGTGTTAGAGTTTTACTCGCTACAGGGTGTACTTTGAGGGTTTTTGACTCTGCAGACCGTTTACATGCATAAAAATCTTCATAATACACAAGTGGATGGGTAATAACCGGAAAAGCATGGCATCGGACCTTGAAATAAATCATAACTAAAAGCACTTTATGCAAGAGCTGTCTTATTGGTCAAGTTTGAGAGACTTAGAATATTTTCACTAGGGATGCACCGAATATTCGGCCGCCGAAAATTATCGGCCGAAAGGGTTCTAGCACCGAAAAAATATCACCGAATGGCAGAGAACAGGGTTACGTTGGTAAGCTAACGTGTTGTTGTGATGACGTAATCAAAACGCGGCGACAAGCACGGCGCGCGACCATGCTCGCGGCTGGCTCACAGCCAACATGTCTGCCGCTTGGAGATATTTAAAAATATCAGAGAAAGAGGCGCGGATTGCGATTTGTAAAACGTGTTCAGCTGACATTTCTCGAGGGGGCGTAACTGCAAAGACTTTCACCACTTCGGGATTACTCCACCACTTGAAATCAAAACACCCGGAATAATATGCGGAGTATGATCAACGTAACCCTGTTCTCTGACATTCCGTGATATTTTTTAAAAAGGCCCTTTCGGCCGAAAGGGCCTTTTTAACAATTTTCGGCCAATCATTTTCGGTGGCCGAATATTCGGTGCATCCCTAGGTAAAGCTATGCAAGTGTTTACAACTCTTGTCCTCTGTGACACTCCCCGCTACCANGATTTGTAAAACGTGTTCAGCTGACATTTCTCGAGGGGGTGTAACTGTAAAGACTTTCACCACTTCGGGATTACTCCACCACTTGAAATCAAAACACCCGGAATAATATGCGGAGTATGATCAACGTAACCCTGTTCTCTGACATTCGGTGATATTTTTAACAATTTTCGGCCAATCATTTTCGGTGGCCGAATATTCGGTGCATCCCTAGGTAAAGCTATGCAAGTGTTTACAACTCTTGTCCTCTGTGACACTCCCCGCTACCAATTGCTTTTTCTGGCTTAATCACAGCAAATAGAGGGCGAGCCCTATGAACGCGTGACTGAGTGATATAACTAAACATATCTTTAAAATGGCATTTGATGAGATATCAGTTTGAATAAATGAACAATGGGAAATGTGAGTTCACTCCGTAGAAAATATATAGATATACATTGTGTGTAGCCACATACTGGATTTGTGGGCAGTGGTTACAGGAAAGTATATATATATATATATGCACAAGCCGCACTTACCTGCACAAAAGAACCACCACAGAGTCAGCCTTGGCCGGGATAAAGCCCAGGAGGAAGACATTGCGACAGCCGCAGTTGTAACACTCCAGCACAGTCTCGCCCAGCGGCCCATCTTTATGCAGCGTCACCTCCTTGCATTTGGCTCTCACCAAGTGGTTCACAATGTGACTGGAAATCAAACAATGGAAAATATTTTAAAACTATTTGATCTCAGCCATATTTGCCCTGGAAATGTTGCTGCAAAAAAAGTATTGATAGATGCAAAATTGAACCTTTTGACCCACAGACCAGAAACAGGCGATTGGAAAGACTATTTTACAGTTTCAAACATACAATGATTTATTCTTTGCATGGTAATGTCAACAGCATATAGGACATAAACTTGGACCACACTTTTTTTTCCTAACAATGCACCTGGAATTAAAAGGTCTGCAAACATTACATTGCACAGATCTCTCTTTAAACACATTTACCAGAATATGTTTGGCAAAAGTCTGCCTATTTGTGATTTTGGTGATAACATTAAAACATTCTACATTTATCGTAATGTATGTTTTATAATTGAATACAATTCATCGGGGTGTTCAAATGGTAGTGTTTTTATGTCCATGTGAAGATGAATAGGACTACACACCTGCCAGATGTGTTACCACGTCCATTACAGAACCACTTCTTGCTGGTATTGCAGTACACCACGCACGCTGGATCATGAATACCACAGTAGCTGAAAAACAACAATTTACAAAGACAGAATCTGAAAAAATGCAGAATTAGATACGAGAATATGTGTAACCAAAAGCAAGGCATAGAGCAAAGCAAAAGGGGTAGGTCCTTGTTTGTAGCATGTCATAAAAAATATTTCCATAGTAAACATTAAATTACATTTTATAAAGCTCTCTGTACTTAACTTCTAAAAGTCACATGTGTGGTATTTGATGTTGGAAAACGTAAAATGTATTAATACTACTAACCCAGTTATGTTTATGAACTTCAACACTATCTATCCCAAGGCTGGGAGATGATACATTTTCTAATTAATGTATAATGTAATGTCTGTTTTTGTATAAAGATAATAAATGTATTGATCACTTTTTAAAGCTAAACCCCTTTACTACGTGTATGAATGTATTTATGTTTGCTTACAGGATCATAACGTGAAGTTGTGGATCCTTTTCTGTTCAAGGGATTATGTGCCAGCATTGTACTTATTTAGTAATGATGTGGTCACTGCAGTTGCCAACACTTGTGCTGAGTGTTATTAACATGGATTGATTTGGGTTATGCCTTGTAGGTCGTGTGTAAGATAGGGAACCAAAAAAAATATTAGAACTGTAATTACAGTATAAAAACAACACTCGTGTACTGAATTCACTTCCTCAGTAATAAAGCGACATCCTGACATGGAGTCAGTGTACCTGCATGCGTGCAGAGGCAGGTCTTTGGTGTAGTAAGAGTCTTCTTCATCTTCCTCAAAGTTGAGCTCGGCCAACAGCTGGCTTGCTTTGGCCACGGAGTCATCCACTCCACCGTTGTGAAGACCCTCATCAGGACCATTAACCTGTAGCACAGCACAAGCTTTACCAAACAAACTCAATGCTACACATTAGCAGCTAGCAGCTAGGATACATACTGTGTTGACACGCTGTCAATGCTCTTAATGCTTACATTTGGTCTTTAAAGTCACACCAGTATGCACAGTTTACTTAGAATAGTTCAAAACAGACATGATAAAACACCTAAGATTACTTTATGAGTTTATTTTTGCGGGCTTCTTAGCGAGCCGTGAGCTAACGGTTAAAGCTAAAGCTAGCTAACGTCCAATAATAGCGGGCTAGCATGCAGCGCTGGGTGAGCTAACTGCAGCTAACGTCGGTAAACCGCGCTTTATTGTTGCTTCCGTGAAGATGAAAGCCACATACCTGGTTGTCCAGCTGGCTCTGGGTCTGGCCTTGAGTTTGCGTCTGGCTGGGAAGGGTAAAGTCGGTAAAGTCGTATTCGGAGCCCTGGGTGTCCGCTCCTAGCAGCTCTGTTTCCTCGGTGTCTAGGAAGGTGAGGGTCTGGGAGCTCGGCCCGTACGCCTCCACACTCATCTCGATTCTTAACTTTCGCTTTACTGAGCACTTTCCGGTGTTCGTCTCAAGATGAACACAATCCTCACAGTATTTGTTTTTATCGAAAACTGGTTAAGAAGCCGACGCACAGATTGTGAGTTTGAACAAAAACAAAAATGGAACCGATCAGAACCTCGAAAGCTCCAGCAGGTCCAACAGTAGAGACGGTGAGACGGTGACAGACTTCCCTGCGCCGTGCAACGCGTGACGTGCGCACTGTAGAGCCGATCGTTAATGGAGACCGAGCTCTCACTCTGATCTTATTCCCGGGGATCAAAACAACAAAGACCTCTATAGGGTAAATGAATTGTTAGACAGTCTTAAGGAAATATCAATCTTGCAAAGACATTTAGTTTCTTTACTCGATTGTGCTTAAAATTACATTTTTACAAAGAGCCAGTTGTGCAACACATCTAATTATTTAGTTTACAATTAAACACTTACATGGCATATTCCCAGTGTCTCAGGTAGTCAGATAGTTTAATGTTTACTTTAGTACAAGAAACAATACAACATACTAAATGTTGCCCTTCATAAAAAACAAACAGTATTGAAATACTACATAAGTAAACGCAATGCATCCAAAGAATCACAAATATTCTTAAAGCGCTAACAGTAAAAATACTTGTTATGCAGAATGACCACAACATATAAAATCTTACATTGCTTGCATTTAAAAAAAATGTTGTACAGTAAACCATGAGTCCAGATGTCCTTCCAATTATCTGCGACACAGCGTTGCTTCATAGTGACATCTATCCTCTATGATATGGCCTTTTATGTCAACACCTCCAACTTTATATTAGCACAGTTGACAAGTAAATACATGCATTTGATATACAGTATATGACTGATAAGTTAATAGACATAGTTGTAATAAGAGACAACTTGTAATACTTAACTCTCTTTATTTCAAAGCCTTTCATTTTAAAAGCCAAGATTACTTGTTGTAACAGTGCTTTGTTAATGTCAGAAGCAGAAGACAGTTCTCAGAGGATTCTGCCTAAACAGAGAAACTCAATAAATCACAGAACCATAATGTTATTGTACAAGAGAACACACACACAGATACAAAAAAACGTGTTTTTGAGGTAGCCACACATCTGAATGGACAGCATCAGTAATATATCTTTGAACTGACCTGCTGAGTATTTTAAGGCCTTTTCATAACATACATAAAGAACAGCAAGGCACAGGGTCAGAGGTCATCACATTTGTAAACTTGAGGCTTTCACTTTTGTGAGCAACATTTTAGGGGGCAGCTCCTCCACAACCTTTTCACTTCTCAGCACTCACAAACCAACACAGTAAAATATCAGCACCTACAACTCAGAACAACAAACTCACCGTCTCACCTCTTTTAACAAGTCCATAAGAGTTGTTGAAAGAAGCAGTTGTTTTAGTTGTTAGTTTAACGAAAAAGTTAAAATTAAGCTTTGAGAAGAACTTCAGTTCTGTTCAGCTCAGTGCTCCAGGATGCTAGCTTGTGGCACAAACCATGTTGCTGGCATTTCAAATGATACACACAGCTGAAAAATAATGTCAATTTACTCAAATGTAGTGGGATCAACTTGATGAAAAAACATTTGATTTAAATCTCATGAAAGGCCAATGGACTGCTGCAGCTCTAAGTAGTTTGTTTCCCAAGACTAGTTATGGAGTCTACAACAGACACATCGATTTTCTGTGGATACACAGGGTGCTGAAGTAAAGTGAAGGCCATTTAATAATAATTAAGTCTATAGTAAATCTGATCAAGCTGAAACGGTTTGTTCACATAGGCTTTTTGACGACTCAGCTGGTATACACAGTGGAACAGAAAAACCTTTAAAAAGACATAAAACAGAACATATAACTGGAAGAGGCACCATCACAAACAGTGAAGGAATCTGCTGCATTTTGTTAAACAGGTCAAAACAAACCAAAGCTCAGGAATATAAAGCGAAACACACCAACAAAGCATACCTCACATGCATCATAATAATAATTAGAACATATGGATCTGTCTTGTCTGAAAGTTATGTTGACTGAAAATAAAAATGGTAAATGCTAGGATTCACATGGCTACAAGTTCTGTCCATATTCCGGACTAAGTAAAAATGTAAAAACAAGATGAAGGAAGTGCTACAGAAATAAAAATGACAGGCCCAACTCTGAACTGAGAGTCCAACTTCATCAAATCAAATCCTCAGGTAAAATAAGCAGCTATATCTGATTCAATGAAGGGAGCAACAGAAAGCTTTTGATCAAGGAATCCAATGAGTGCTGCACAAATAAGAACAGCATGAGCTTTTGCAAGTTTAATCCAAAGATGTAAGAAGATAAAAAGATATTAATCATTATATTAAATAAACACAACTTTCAAAACACAGCTCCCATGAGAAGAGTGTTTCATTTAATCTGTCCAATGTCTGTGGTAATAATTGCAATGCTTTATATTTTCTAATTGTGCAGCCCTGATATCATTCTATAAAACCTACCACTAAATTACTGAACTCGAGATCTGTAAAATAACACTGAGGGTTTTTGTTTTGTCAGAGTTGGGCCAATAAAACTGAGGGAATATGAGCTGGAACCAACCCGTTCCCTGATTAAATAACCTTTGTAAAAGAAGGCAAAAATAACAACTTCTTATAAAGAAAAAGGACTCAAGAAACAATTCAACATCAAGTGTGAAATGGCACAGTTAGGCTTGAGACTCCCATTATATCTTCTCACCATCGGGAGACATAAAAACACAACTGAGTCAGGGCTAGAAAAACATGAAGACCAAGAGAGACAAACGCTGGAGACAAACTGAAGTTTTCCTTCTATCCAAGTAAAGACAAAAATAAAAAGAGAAGAAGTTCGGCTACTTGTGGTTAAGTGCAATTTCTCTTTTGTGGTGAGGGTTGGAGAGGCTGGTTGGCATCTGGAGCTCACTTAGTGGAAGTGCTGCTGCTGGCAGTGGATTTTCTCTTCGGCCTGGTCTATAAGCTCCAGCATCTCCTGGATGATGGCCTGCAGCGCCCGGCCCAGGTCTTCCCCGCTGTAAGGCTTTCCCAGAGGAGGCACATGAACGAAGGCAGAGCGACCATGGCTCAGGTGCAGAGACGTGTAGTAGGTGAAATCACACAGATACCTGTTGAGGGAGAAAGGACAGCATCTGTACATCTCTGCAAACCTTCCCTATAGATTAGCAATACATGATTTGTTCTACCACTAGGGATGTCAATATTAAACAATGATAAAAGACTGAGTTTGGTGGCAACGTGGTACAGGGTGGGAGGTAGTTAGGATGTTCATTGTTCAGGAGGTTTTCACCATATCCACGTTCAAATTTTAATTAAAAATCTGTGTTTCTTCAATGCTGTGCAAATGCCGCAAAATCTTGCTCAGCTTGTTTCTTTCACATCCTAATATCTAGATGTTGGATGACAACATCCTTATTGCTTTTTAAATGTATAATTAAAAGCTACCAAGATCTGGCTAAAACCTAATCTATTTATGACATCTTCTGGCAAACAACCACACTGCGGAGGCATGCTCAAAGTGGATGAAGCCACTACAGATGACCAAATCAAACAGGCCGCTGCTTTGATTATAATTACAGATTTCCTTAGGTTGAACATTTGTCGGAAACATTTACAATTGCAAGAAAAAGTGAACCCTTTGGAACTACCTGGATTTCTGCATAAATTGGTCATAAAATGTGTTCTGATCTTCATCTAAGTCACAACAAGACAAACACAGTCTGCTTAAGCTAAAACCACACAAACAATTATATGTTTTTATTGAACACACCATGTAAACATTCACAGTGCAGGGTGGAAAAAGTATGTGAACCCTTGGATTTAATAACTGGTTGACCCTCCTTTGGCAGCAATAACCTCAACCAAACGTTTCCTATAGTTGCATATCAGACCTGCACAACAGTCAGCAGGAATTTTGGACCATTCCTCTTTACAAAACTGTTTCAGTTCAGCAATATTCTTGGGATGTCTGGTGTGAATCGCTCTTTTGAGGTCATGCCACAGCATCTCAATTGGGTTGAGGTCAGGACTCTGACTGGGCCACTCCAGAAGGCGTATTTTCTTCTGTTGAAGCCATTCTGTTGTTGATTTACTTCTGTGCTTTGGGTCGTTGTCCTGTTGCATCACCCATCTTCTGTTGAGCTTCAATTGGTGGACAGATGGCCTTAAGTTCTCCAGCAAAATGTCTTGATAAACTTGAGAATTCATTTTTCTGTCGATGATGGCAATCTGTCCAGGCCCTGAGGCAGCAAAGCAGCCCCAAACCATGATGCTCCCTCCACCATACTTCACAGTTGGGATGAGGTTTTGATGTTGGTGTGCTGTGCCTTTTTTTCTCCACACATAGCGTTGTGTGTTCCTTCCAAACAACTCAACTTTGGTTTCATCTGTCCACAGAATATTTTGCCAGTAGTGCTGTGGAACATCCAGGTGCTCTTTTGCAAACTTCAAACGTGCAGCAATGTTTTTTCTGGACAGCAGTGGCTTCCTCCATTTTATGAGCAACTTATGCAGAAATCCAGGTAATTCCAAAGGGTTCACAGACTTTTTCTTGCAACTGTATATAATAGGTCTAGTCCTTTTTTTAAAGATTTTAATGTGGAAACATATCATATGTATTGACAACAATATTAAGATCAGATAAACTAACCACTATTATAACTAATATCTAAGCATGGCTGATTCGAGTTTATCACAGATACATCAGTGTCAGCACGTTTATCAGCTGGTTTGTGAAATAAATTATAGTACGTAATGCCACACTTAGTTGCCAGTTTCCTCAAGTACACCAAGCTAAAACTAATTCAGTCCAATTCTACATTCATTAATTGTCCTAATTAAGTGTTTTATGAAGGCTATAATGTGTTGGTCAGATTTGCACAGACGGGACTGATTTGACTTATTTTTTAACAACCCACAACATCCCACTTCCACACACAGTTTCACTTCAGCTTTCAGTCAAACATAATGCAAATTGTTTCATCAAATGTAGGTCTCAATGCAGAGAGTGAATATAGTTGATGTCTGATTTGTGTGTTCAACAAAGTTCAGGAATGTGTTTTCATGGCTTTATCACTTTAGGACCTGAAGCATGTGTCTGATAGGTGTGAAGCGAAACAAAAAGCTTATTCAGACAATATATTTTTGTACTAAATCCTTACCTTCCAGCATCTTTGGAGACAGACACAGCTACTCCCAGCCCTGAGGAGGTCACTCTCTTACAGACTGATTCCATGTCAATGACTGAGTTGATACAGTCGGGGCCTCCCACAATGCAACACTGTGAATCAGGACAGAAGCTGCTGTTGTCCAGGCCCTTGTAGCCGTGATTTCTGCCACACTTCTCTAACGTGACAGTGGTGGCCATACCTGAGACTCCAACATGAACCACCAACTGGCAGACAAAGGAAGCAATAAAAACACACATCAGAATTCATATCATATTACTGTCAAGAAGCACAAATTATTCGCAATACGCCTGTGGCATCATCTTCTCTGCACCTGAGGTCTCTAATGAAAGAAGCTAATTATTCTTTTATTAGAAACAAATCAAAGGTCTGAGCCCAAGAACCACTAAACAGAGCCCTTCTAAACCAGAATATCAATGTTGTCATTTTCTTACGTAATTGAATTCAACAACAGGTCTCATGATCTGATTGTTCTCAGGGCCTAAAGTAGATCCAATCATACTTTTAAATTGCCTTTACACAAGACCTGTGAATCCTGTGGCAATAAAATGAGACCTACACTGGAACTGAGGCAGACAAGAGTTGTTGTATTAAAGTCTTAAAAGGGCAATAGTGTGGAGAGGTTAGTCCACATTCTCCTCTTACCTGTGGATGATGCTTCTTCCATAATGAAGGAACCAAACTCTGGACTGTCTGGTACTCTACAGGAACCTCGGACACATGCAGGTCCACTTCACTGCCCAGTCCGAGCTTCTTCAGTTCCTGACGAACAAACACATCAAAGCTGAAATCCTTTTTTTCATTTTAAAAATAGACAAAATGGTGGAACTTTGATTCTAGTGTTAATATTATGTTATAACGTAGAGAAACTAGATCTATTAACTTTTATAAGAAACAACAACAACCTTCTTTTTCCCTTTTCTATCTGTGTTTCCATCTTGTAAATTAAAAACAGCCAATTGACCTTAAAATATGTCCTTAAATTTGCCCTATGTCGGGTTAAGGGTACTGACACTGACTGTTATCCCACCCAATGGAAAAAACCTTACATTAACGTGATGTCACCACTTTCAACTAGACCCTTTAAATGAATGCACAGCTTTAGATTAGGATTTTGCATGGTGTCTTTAAACTGTGAACATTTGAATATTCCTGGGTCACTAGTTTGCACGTTAGCGTTCATTTTTAAATCTAAAGCTTTAAGCTATTTTGTTTCACAATAGACATTTTTCCAAATCTCTTTAAATATATCCATTTGTATTACAATCTTTGAGATGTTTGTTTAACATTTTTATTTGAGATTTTTATCCATAACAAATCTATTCAGAACCAATGATAATAATATGTTAATGATCCTTATTTGAATTGGTATGAGTCAAAAGGTAATTTTTTTTGCAGTTTCTCATCTCGCCTTGTCCTTTCCAAATAACATTATTTAAAAAAATGGCTATACACAATTGTTTTAAATAATATGAGAAGCGCCAGATGAGAAAGATGCAATCATACATATTATAAGTAAGATAAATCTGTGTCCAATTCAGTCAGTGGACTGACGCCTCCCCCCATCTCCCTGCAGGACAATCAGCCCTGGACACTGACCCCCACCTATTGAAGAGTCTTGTTTGACCACGTCTCTGACCCCGCCACAAAGTGGCCTTTTGTTTGCCTTTAATATCCTTATCAAGTCTGTCTAGACACCCTGACAACCACTGTCACCCCCCACATGCAGTTTGTCCACCAGGACACGGAGAGCCTCGACACACTGCTGCACGGTGAGAAACCGGCCGGTAACTATCAGAGCATCATGTGACCGCCTCGAAAACAAGCTCCACACAAAAAGCTCATTACGAAAAGACACAATTGCTCATATGTTATTTTATTTATTACAAATATTAACAATTCACCATGAAGACTACTTACTGTACTCAAGGTCAGGTCTTGACTAAAAACATTATAAGCTTCATTTAGTTAGTATGCCATATTTAGGGGTGATCAGTGGTTATGTTTACACTCCAGGTTGAATAGAAAGCATTTTGTAAAAGGTCTAGTTAATTAATTATTTATGCAAAGTCAAGAAATTGTTTGTAAAAATGTTTTAATTGCAAACAGATGAATCAAACAGTCTGGGTTTAACCTAAACACACTGATGCTCATACTGATGTCTGTTTGATTCTTTACAATATATTGAATATGGGAATTCAAAGAGAAATAGAGGCACAAAACATACCTGTACTGCTATCCAGCTGGCGTTGACGGTGTGCTCTCCAAATGGCCCAAAACCTGCAAAACAGGTACGTTATTTTGGTTGCTGTCTGGTTGATTTCTACACATAATTATGTAAACTTGCATTGCACTAACAGAATACTATTATACATCTTACTGCAATCTTTAAGTAGTTGTACGGGTATGAATAGAAATACATTTAAATGTCTTATCATATGACTGCTAGATACTCTCATACATTTTATTTGTAAATTACTAGCTGAATATTGCATTTGTACTATAAAGTAGTTGAGACGTACACAGACCTAACATTTCCAAAATATTAGATTTTCAGAAAAAACCTGAAATGTGTATGTCTAGGTTTCTGTTGAATAGCCAAATTCAAATCAATCACTTTCTCTAAAAGTCCCTCCATGCATCACTCCATACGACCTATCAAATCTCAGCAGCGGCCTATGGATATTCACTCAGGCTTGTTTATATAGGGATCTATAACTGATCTCCTTCCACCACGCTTCCAAGGGTCAGTGGGTCCCTGGGGGTTGGGTGGAGGGGGACCAGTCTGTCTGACAGGCAGCTGAAAAGGAGCAGAGTGAGGGGCCGACAGCTGCTAGCCGCCCCGCTATTGTGAAGGTGCTGTTCCCAGGCAATATACGCGTCTCGTATCAGCTGGGACTGCCAGCTTCTGCACCCCTTTGTGTCTGAAAACTCTCTGCTGCTGTTTGCTGTTATACTCCGCAGATTCAATATTCAAGACTGTAGTTTGTGCATTTAGTAAACTTTATATTAAAGTGGCTGGAACTGAAGTTTCAGTGAGTCTTGTTTTGGTAAACCAACAAAAGAACACCATAGTTTAACATCAATATTGACTTATATTGTAATATCTCTGTAAACATTACTTGTTCTTAAATTAATGGTTGTGCAAAATGTGTTTCCTAAAATGAATCGTAAAGCAGCTTTTATGGGAGGAGACAGCCCAAAAAAAGAACAGTTACATTTCCAGACTTTCATTTTATAATGCAAAGCAATGTAATATATGATGTAAAATGGATGAGCTTCTCACAGACACTGGACAGAACATAATACTGTTAGGATATGTATAACTGGTACACAATCATTGGTTTGTTATTATGTTATTTATTTGAAACACTTTGCCCAGCTCTGTAATGAAACCATGTCTGGACGAGGCCTGGTGAGGAAAACAAGTCCAACTGTTGTGAAACAATTAAGATAAAACCATGAAGAAAAAGCCCTACAGCAGCTATTTCTTTAACAGGAACTTGAACAGGTTTTCACTATCACTACAAAATACCTCCATAAAACATAAAACAGTCTTTTAGACAATTGTATACATTGCTCATTTGTTCAGTTTTTTTTTAAATGTATTTATATTTATTATTTTTGAAACACATAAATAAAGTCAAAGATAAAGAACATATCTTTGATCCATTAGATTTGTACTGAAACTCGGTTTATTAACGTGTGTTTAGCGTTACATGGCCTTCGAAGTAAGACAGGAAACAACAACGGAAAGATAATTTCGTCTAGCTTATCAGCAACACTAATTGTATGTATAAAAAACATACTAAATACCTGATATGTTGTTGTTAATATTACTAGTAAGCAAAACGTTTCTTTAAACTGTCTGGCAGCGGAGTGAAGCAGTAACGGTCTGACGCCATTAACGCGAGCAGTTGTCACCTCCACAACTTTTCCTCCACTTCACCCCGATGTTCAGTCTGCATACACGACAACAATGGCTGGAAAAAAAAACACTAACCTGTAACGACCACCGTCCGTTTACTGTTGTCCATCTCCCGTCCTGTTGCAGAGTATTTTCTGCCTTTTTTCTGGTTTTTATTGTGAACCAGGACCGCAAAGAGAGACAGTTCCCTCCACAGCTGACGGCTCCGTCTGCCAGACACCAAACAAACAACCTGCCTGCTGCTGCCTGTAGGCTGCGTCAGGCGTGACGTCATTACGTAAGCAATAATATGATGATTTTTATTTAGGACAAATATTGTTCGTACATTTCACGTGCCCAATTGATGGTTTTGATGTTTATTTTGTAAAGTAATAAGAAGAAACTTAATTTTTGTGTGAAAGGCAATACACTGTCAATGTATGATTCTGGAAAAACAAGAACATGAGAATTGATACCCAATACAAATATTATTTTAGACAAGAAACCTTGGATTTAAAATGTTACCAAAACGAGAACGTTGTTTATTTTATTTCAATGTATTAAATTAACTGAAGAAATACCATATCCATAAGGTCACGTTTTCCAAGCTCTTTTAAAGGTAAAATAAGAAAATATGTTGACTTTTTCCAAACTATAAACCTGCCCATATAGTTAATATGCTATATTTTTACAAGATATGTTTTATTTAATCTCCTACCGTTTCTCAAAAAGTATTCATATTAATATTGGTTCATTAATTAATTAGATTTTTAATTTTTTTTGTCAATAAAGCTGAACATTATTTCAAAATCCGCTTCTGAATCACTGTTTATGGGTCCTTTAAAAGATTACAGCAATGGGTAACACATTTTTATATGGTTGCTCTGTCTGTCTGACTATTTCTGGAGCACACATTAAAAGGACAATCATAGCTTTGATAGTATGGAAATAATAACTATAAACCGCTATAAACACATATTTTTCTTCACCAACCTTAGGCACTCCATTCTATATTTTGATTGCATTGCAGTGACTGCTGTTGACGGCAGAGGGCAGCATCTTATAATACAGCCGTTATCACACACCGTACCTCCGGAAATAACGAAGAGGACGAAGGAGGTTTTGTAAATTTGTGTCAGTGAAGGGCCTAGACAAAAAGTGAAACACAAAACAATAAAGACATACTATCACAATGGTGAGTATTTAATTTGTACTGTTACGATAACACGTTAATAGCTACCTTTTTAGGTTTTCGTTGGCACGCTTGCTGCTCAGCTAACTGTTAGCAGCTCTGTAGCGCTTGGTCACACAATGCTGTGCTAGCCAAGTGAAATTAGCTTCCGTTACGGTATCTAAACTTAACATAATTGACAAAGTGGCTGTTTTAAAATGCGTGCAGACTTTACATGCAGCAACAGAGAAAGTTGATATTGTGCCAAAGTTGTGAGCTTGTTACTTAAAACTCGAAAAAAAGTATGTTTTTGCCTCATTGCCCTAAATATGGCGAGTTAGCACACATGACAGTGTATGATAAACAGTGTTTAAACACTCCAGATAAATCACTGGTCGAGGATATTATTATCATGACGTACAAAACTAAGTATTATATTATAACTATTTCAAATTACAAATGTTTTAACACTGAACACTTAATACCATAAGATAACTTATAGCTTATTTTCATGATTCTTTATCAAGGTATAATATGTGTTTTTCTGTCCTTTTCCAGCTTCCACTATCTCTGCTTAAGACTGCCCAGAACCATCCTATGGTGAGAAGACACTGAAGCCTTCATGTTATGGCTGCAGATAGAACAGCAACTTATTTCACTTTCTTTTATCTTTACATTACTTCATTAATTATTTGGCATGTTAACTGTGACGTAATTATAAGTTGTTTTATCCATGACTTGTGCTTTAGTATCTTTCATCCAGCCTGCAATTTGTAGCCTGGACTCTAAAACAGCTTGTTTTATGTTTCCCTTCTCTCTTCAGCTGGTGGAGCTGAAAAATGGAGAGACGTATAACGGTCACCTGGTCAGCTGTGACAACTGGATGAACATCAACCTGAGAGAAGTCATCTGCACCTCGAGGGTAAAGCTGAGCTCTGGTCTCACGTCTCTGCCATCACTAACACTTTAGACGCAGTGCTACTGACAGTTATAAAGTATCTCTCCTATTTAGTTTGGTTTGTTTTTTGACATGTAAACAGTTACACAAATAATTTGAGACACAAACTGAAAACAAAGAATGGCACACTTGAGGCTTGCAGCTTACATTTATTTTCTATATTAATTGCATTATTAACTGCTGATTCTTATAGATTTATTGTTAGGTCTATAAAACGAGTTACAAATGTCCATCCTGGTCTCAAGTCAAAGGTGATGTCTTTAAATGCCTTGTTTTGTCAGAACCAAAGATATTCAGTTTAATGGAACATGACAACTGAGAAAAGCAGAACATCTTAACATTGAAGTCAACTAATCCTCGCAGCTCTAAATAACTATTTAAAACAGCACAACCTTACATACAGCTCCTCTTCAGACCAAAGAGCTATAGACTGAAGCTGGTTGTGCATACCTTCTTTACAAAGCACAGCCACATTAAGATTAGAATGCATTGACAGCCCCTCTCCACTCTAACAGGATGGAGATAAGTTCTGGAGGATGCCTGAGTGCTACATCAGAGGAAGTACCATCAAGTACCTGCGAATCCCCGATGAGATCATCGACATGGTGAAGGAGGAGGTGGTGTCGAAGGGCCGCGGACGTGGAGGCCCCCAGCAGAACAAACAGCAGGGCAAAGGAAGAGGAGGAGGAGTCGGCCGAGGTGAGTGGAACGGCTTTCTTTTGTGCCTTTGGTCATAACATTGATATTGCCATGACAGTTTAAGTTTGTTACCTAATTTATCATAATATAAAGTCCACATACTCTCAGGAGCATCAAGTCTAGCCCTAAAGATGTGTAAATAAAATCTCCGAATGCATTGTAAGGTTTAAAAGGTGAGAAATGTAATTATATAGCAAAACCTGGCATTAACTTTTTAATTTATTTATTTACTGAAATGTACATTTTTTGTCATACTGTAACACAAATATTGTAGCATTCTCTATATTTGTCATGTACTTTAATGTTTGTTAAAGACAACATTTCCTCAAGGTAGTCTTTAACATATACTTATCACAGAAAAATCTAATAAAAAACAAAGAAAAAAACCTAAAGTAAAAATCAAAAACCGGCAAACTGTCAGCTATATTAACTAAAATGTCTAATAAATAATTTAAAAAAAAATGTATACCATCATGCCGATTACCTATGAGATTCTACGTTTTTATTTATTTACTGAAACGTACATTTTTTTCATACAGTAACAAAAATATTGTAGCATTCTCTATATTTGTATTTATACATGTCTGTTGTCAGGTCTGTTTGGCGGTCGTGGCAGAGGGATGTCTGGGCCGGGCCGAGGCCAGCAGCAGCAGCTGCAGCTGCAGCAGGATAAGAAACCAGGCAAACCACAGGGCATGAAGAACCAGCACTGAGTGAACATTACACCTTCAACATCCTATCATCTGAGTGATTTCTCCTTCAGTATATGAAGTTAAATGTAACTCCAGTGTTTCCTTCTGCCTTGATGTTTGTCTGGACTGACCACTGCAGAAATCACACTGAGACGTTAAGAGAAGCTGTGCGTTTGCACTGCATTTAGTTTTTTAGTATCTGTAAGTTGGTGTAACATTTTCTTTTAGTATGATCATGTATCAGTAAGAGCTGACTGCTTTAGTATCGTCCTTGTGTCATTACAACTTTGCAAAAACCTTTTGTGTCATCAATCACATTGTGTTATCTAAAATCAATTCTCCTTCAGTTGTTACACTGGTAGAGGCTTTTAGTTGTCGTTTTGTCAACTTGTCTCCTCAGGTGTAATTCTCATGGCAGACAAACTGCCCAGCCCCAACTTCTGTTGCACAAATTCCTTTTTTAACTTGCTCTTTACTCTTGTTTTGTTTGTCATGTTCTGTGGCTTGTCTGCACCTATGGTCCGATCACAACAACAGGTGGATCAATAGACTGGCAGTCGAGGGGGAGAGGTATTCAGTCCCTGAAAAGTAAACATTTTTGTTAAAGCATTTGTAAGACACATTATGATCGTCCGATTTCCAGATTCAAGTTTCTTTTTGTCTGAAATGCATAAGTTTGGTTCATGTTGGTTGGGTTTCATTTTATTTTTGTAACAAAAAATGATGTAATTTATTTACATGAGAATAAAACAACTTTTGTTAGGCAGTCGTTTTCATTTATGGCAATGTTTTTGTCAGCTTTTTTGTGTCAGTCAAAACTATTTGGAATCAAACTAATATTTTACTGATCTTCATTCACGTTTCTTCAATATGTTTGCAATTTTAATTGAATGGAAATTACAATAAGTGATTCATGTCCATGCAGGTTAAGTGAACGGTAGGTTTTAAAGTAAAAAAACTATAAGCAGAACTGACTGAATTAATTAAATAATAATTAATTCCTTTTAGTATGAATTACAAATAGATCTACATGGAAAATATTCTGTATAATTGGCACAACGGGTAATGATCAAAGTCACAATTTAGGACTATTATGGACAGCTTTAAAGATAAATGTTTAAAGTCTGGACGACTTTCTGAATGTAAGAGTAAAGCCATATCCAGGCTTTCCAACATTTCCATCAATTTGATTTCAAACACTCAAGCGTTACAACAGGCTACGACCAGTCCTGTTTTGGGATATGTACCTAATAAAAACTAGTGACCTGACGGGTAAAGCATATTAGATAAATCAAAGACAATCAATTACAGGTCAATTGCTATCTACGTTTACTAAAATGTCAAAAGAAATATAAAAAACAACATGCCATGGGAATTTCCTCTGTTGTACTTTATTGTAGGACCGTGCAGATTATAAAAGGTGGTATAAAGTAAAATAAATGTAGAGAGTAATATTCAAAAAGATAATATGAAACACTTACACAGAATATGCTTGTCATACGTCAACATTTTCCTGAGTAGATCCTGACATATTCCTCAGACAGAAATTCAATTCTTTCAATGAATTCTAATCAATTGACAGAGCAGAAAAGGACATTTAAAAATAAATTCAAAAAGTAAGGTATCAGTCCTTCTGCACTAGTTTATTATACCAGTAGTTCTGAGATCCTGGTGGTCAAAAGTAGAGAAAAAAACATCAAAACACACAATGATGTTCAAAATTGGAAGACACATATTTCTTCTGTACTAGTTTACAATGCAGATGAATTATGTGATTCTGGTGGTCAAGAGTAATATACTGTAATGTTAGTCCAAAAATGTGAAGAGAAATACTTCAAAACATCAAATATAACAGTTAAACTGTACAAAAACATGCTTGCCAAAGTCATACAATAACATGTTTTTGAGTATGAACAGCTTGCTCGTGATAACTACATTTCCTCAAGGTAGTATTTAACATATACTTATCACAGAAACATCTAATAAAGAAACGAAGAAAATAACCAAAAGTAAAAATCAAAAACAGGCAAACTGTCAGCTATATTAAGTAAAATGTCTAAGAAATAATAAAAACATGTTTTATACCACCATGCCGATTACCTCTGAGATTCTGGTGGTCAACAGGAAAATAAATGTTGGTCCAAAAATGTAAAACGTGTCCTTAAAAATACTCCTCAAAGTCATACATCAACATTTCCTGAGTAGATCCTGACATTCTTTCCAAGTGAAAAATGTCAACTCAGACAGTTATCCTTCAAATGACTAAGATAGATTGAAAACACATAAAAAAGTAAATGAACAACTTGCTCATGATTACAGTAAAACTGTTTAAGGCAGCGTTAGGCATGCTTCCTTTTTTTAAGAGCCTCAAGGTTTAGTTCAGTTTTTTCTCTTTCACACAACTTTTACAGAAAAATCATCACAATAAAAACAAAAAAAGGCTAATTAAATAATACATTGAAAAGGCAGAAACGGAAATATAAAAACGAAATTCAAAAAAGTAAAGTATAATATTCCTTCTGCACTGGTTTATTATACCACTATGCTGATAAGATATGAGATTCTGCTGTTCAAAATTAAAATACGTGTCAAAAAATGTATAGGAAAAGAAACATTAAAAATGTTATCACCAAGCAACATTTCCTCAAGTCCACCAGTTGTGGTATGTTTGGTAGCCTTTGAGATGTAGTTTTTACAAAAAAATCTATAAAAAATACAAACAAAAAAAACTTTCAGCTATATTTACTAAAATGCGGAGTAGCCTATCATAAATCTTCTGTACTACTTTTTTATACCACCATGCAGATTAGTCATTAGATTCTGGTGGTCAATAGTAAAATAAATGCTGGTCCAAAAATGTAAAAAGTATCCTGAAAAATATGAAGTGAAACAGTTACAAAGTAAATACTCAAAGTCATACATCAACATTTCCTGAGTAGATCCTGACAAACTTTCCAAGTGAAAAATGTCAACTTAGACAGTTACCCTTCAAATGATTAAGATAGATTAAAAATAGATTGACAAAACATAGTAAATGAAAAGCTTTACGGCAGCGTTTCATCAAGTTCAGTTTCGGTGTGCTTCATTGTTTTTAAGGGCCTCAAGGTTTAGGTTCCTTTTTTAGTCACACGTAACTTTCACAGAAAAATCCATACAAACAGAAACAAAAGGCAAATAAAAAAACTATCCCATCTGTTGCAGGCATATCGTTAGCAAGATTTGATTAAAACAAATAAAATGTAAAGATTCATATTTCTTCTGTACTAATTCCTTATACCACTCGGCAGAAACTTTCTGAGATTCTGGTGGTCAATACCAAAATACATAATCCTGAGAAAACATAAAATAAAAAAAGTATGTTTAGCTTCAATGTATTCTTTAAGTTGTAAAATAAAAACCAATAACAGCAAAGGAAAAAGGAAAATCAACATTTTTGGTTTTGAGAATGTATGATTAACCTGATAAACTCAAATGTCTCTTAAGTCATCCAGACCATCCCTCAGTCATCAAGTCCTGCTTGGCTGTGACGGTGTATTTCCAGGTCTCCACAATCTGAGACATCATGAGATTGGCAGGAAACCTTTCCTCCACATAAGCAGGCACTTCCACTTCTTTACGGTCCATGTAGGCACACACCGTCTCTTTAACACTATACAAAAGGGAAAGGTTTGTGTGATGATAAGGACCCTGTTAACTTACAGAAACAAAAAGGTTCAGTGCCAATATCAGGGTGTTTTTTCAAAGTGATTATTTTATGCTTTCATTTACATTTACTGATGACTGGCCAAGGCTGTGAACGCCAACCACGGAGCACATTTTTTTACTTCTCTCGTTACGACAAGGCTGTTCAAGTTTGTAAACATTGATTGAACCAAAATGATGTGAATTAATTAAGCAAGTTCAAAATATATATTTGTTTCCCTATTAAGGGACTACTACATTCTGAGGGCTTATTTCTTTTTTTTCTTTAATATTTGTACTAGGTTAATTGTGCAGTACAACACAGGCCAGTTGAGGATACCTAAACCAAGGATAAATCTACTCAAATACTACTGTATTTAACAAAGCGTAATAGCAATGGACTCTTGATTCCTTAATTTAACAAACACCAGACTCATTATCAAGGAAGCATTAAGATAACTTGAATTTGAAGAATTTAATGTAGACAATGTCATATATGTAGAAAGGGGCAATGCACAATCTAGAGATATGTGTCAACATTTCTTTTAAATTGATTGACATTTTCAAGCATAAGATCCCATGTTTTTTATAGCTGCATTATTCTAAATATTGACATATTTGAAATGTATCTTGCACAAGATCTACGTTGGGATGAAAAGTGAATTTAAACGATGTTTGGCTGCATAATATTTATCAGAACTGACCATAATATTTTCAGGGATATTGGGAGGAACAGTTGCATTAACAACTACATATGTAGTTTATCAGGATTACCTCCAGGCTGGGTTGAAGTCATCGATGGCCCTCGGCCGGCCCAGATTCAGCAGGAGGAACTCGTGCATCTCAAGAAGCCATTGGTCCACATTTCCTCTGGACACGAAGCCTTTCAGCTCAGTCTTGTTTTCCTCTGTCAGCGGCACCAGGTACTCTGATGGATACCCCGAAAAGGGCTCCTTTTTATAGAAACATGGGGTGAGGTATTTGTTTGTGTTTAATTACACTGTATATTCTGAGTGAAATATTTGGTTTGAAGTACACTCTGAAATTAGCCCAAAAATAAATAGTATTCTTTGATAAACAGGCTTAGTGGACTGCAATATTTATAAATGGAACATAATGGCAAAAGACATGAAGCTAGTGCCCAGGTTTTCTTTTTAGTGATTTTCTATGCAGTGCTCCTGTTTGACCCTTAAACCAGCCCCATAAACGCAACAAGAGCAACACTTACCCTTTTGAGACGCAGCATGTTTTCCGATCTGAGGGAGGAGAGGAGTTGCCACAGAGAAACACAGTGTCTGAGATTGCATCTGCCCAGAGCCTGAAGAAATAACACAGCACAGTCAAGAGGCTGTCTTATACACTTTGAAAGCACACAATGAATCTTTATACATCTTTTTACTTAATCTATAGTTTTCTTGTGTTTTGGCAATGTATTTAGGATAAGATACATTTTTGAAAAGCTCTATATTCAAATTTGACATTATTTCCACTTTATTTGGATGATTGATATTATTTAATAAATATTTTCTTTAATGTTGTTGTTTTGTCCAACTGATTGGAGGTGATAATCACCTTACTCACAACCCCAAAAAGTATGCATTAATGGTGACTTGTACACCTTTTCAAGTCAGTCTTAAAACAATAGTTGTGATCCAAATGAACACTGAAGCTTAGAATGGAAGTGATTGTCGCCCAATTTGTACTGACACAAAGTAACCTTTCTTAAGCTAAGGGAAACCTTAACTATCGCTCCAGAAATAGAGGCTGCATATGAATTGACCTGCAATACGTGTTTATCGATGCGTTGAACCATCTTCAAGATATCCTGGAGGTAAGTGACCAGTGACATCATGGGGTCCCCACCAGTCATTGAGAGGAAGCCCAGGAGCAGCTCAGCGATCTTGAGTGCCTCACACACCTCACTGTAGGAGTCCAGCTCTCTGGACAATGCGTTCCGAGTCAGAGAGGACAGAGTGGCCTGAAAGATAACAGCGTATGATTAGAGCCTGAAGCCATAATCTACTGCTATATATGTTTTCTGTATTTATATGTTGAACTTTAAAATGTCATAGTGAGAATTAACTAAATGTTTAAATATCTACATAAGAATTACCTCCAAGATGTAATACCGACTATATATTATAAGCTATAATAAAAAGGTTCTAACTAAATTAACAACATCAAAGTAGCACTTTAAAGGAATGTAATTATCTGTGTTTGTCTTATATTAATTAATTTTACAGTGAAATCTTAAAGAAAATGAATCAGCAGAAATTGTAAACGATTAACACTTAAATAACAAACTATATCAATGAATGAACTATAACAAAACAATCTTTGATTTCAGATTGTACCATTGAGATGATTTGCCTTCCTTCTGTTTATATCATTGTGAATTGGATATCTACAATTTTCTTTATTTTCTGATGCTTAATGACAAAACTAAATCATCAATCAATTGTTAATGTAAAATGTTTACATTATTAAAAAGCCTTTTCTTAAATGCATGTAAAAGAAACGTGTGATTTTATTAGGTGACCTAATATATAACTTAATACCTGATGTACTTTTCCTTTAACAGTCTTGAACATGGTTTCATAGTCTCTCTCTTGTGTGTTGATCAGAGTCGGAACTCCCTAGAATAAAGCATACAAATACAATTAGTTTAGTGAAGCAGGGATTTGATACTGTAAAATAAGTCAGGCAACAGAGAGCACATAATAACAGAACAGTTAAATACAATGTCACAATCTGCTTGGTGAACATGTCTTACTGTGTTGTAAGCCACAAAAATAGATATGAAAGATATTTGCTTAGCCATGAGTAAAACACAACATGCATATAACAAACCAAGTCAAAATAATGTGTCTCCTGTCAAAGGGTCTGTATTGGTTTGGCTTTTGCGAGGCGTGCTGGAGTCTGTTCCTCCTAGACTGTAAAGGGCTAGTTAAGCTTGTGTGTCCATTTATAGTTTTTTTAGAGATGCACCAGTTGCAATTATTGATTTTTCGAAAAGTCGATTTTTTTTATTCTGATCTCAAACCTTAGTTGAATAATTGGTAGCATACAAACACAGGTGAATAATACATGGATTCAGTGAGGACAGAGAGCGTCCAATGTTACACGATGTGTTATGATAGTCTTACACTTGTGTGTTCAAAATCATGTGTCAATCATATGAACATTTGAGCAGAAAACATTATGATCTACAATATGGAGCAGAACGTCCAGCCACACGTCATGGCTGATGTTAGCTGACAACCCGCCAGTTTTGACCAGTGCATCTCTATTTGCCCTAACCAATACAAGCTGTGTGAACTCACTGTGCGGGTGATGAGGGGTTTTCCCTGCAGGAAGCGGGTGATGATCTGCTGCTGGATCATGGGCAGGTCATATTGTGTTATTGTCTCATGTCCACGTTCCAAGCTGTACTGGCAGTTGGATAACACCAGAGGAAGTAGGTCCTTCTCAAGCTCATAGCTGATCACATGCTGCTCCCTTAGCTCCGCCACACTCACTCTGTAACTGCTGGGTGACAAAAACATCACAAAACAAATATCATTGCATGCATTTATTTGAAGATAGTACTTTCCAAAGTGTAGTCCACTAGTAGACAAAAAGTGCACTCAACAATGTTTGAGGATCATTAAGGTGTTACAAGGTGGATTTTGTCACCCATATAGCTATTTAATGGCCTGTATGTACAGGCAAACTACTTTAAGCAAGTAAAACCTCTTTCAATGTTCATATGGGAACCTGAATATTGTTTGGAGTAAGAAACGTATCCTTAAGTACAATGACAAACGTTATGGTTAAGAAATAACACAGAAATGTCTACCCTCTGAATGAAAATGTTTTATTTAATTTATTTTGTAGCTCCATTTAGGTTTTGTACCTGCTGTCCTCCCCGGTCAGACTATCCACAGCGTTCACCAGCTCGTTGTGTAGCGCCACTAGGTAGCTGACCAGACCGGTGGCACACAGACCTGGTCCCTGCCGCCGGGGCAAGAGGTACTGCAAGTCGCTGTCCAGGTTCAAATCTTGGCTGCAAAATTCATCTGGGATCTTCAACTCACCTGTAAGTTTGAAAGAAGATATACATGATTGATTATATCTTATTAAACAATGTGTAATTATGTGGTCGATGCGATATTTCATTCACAAACATGGTTCAATCAATCACTGCTGCCCTAAAGAAATATGTTTTATTTTTGGCCACTGAAAGCTGAGCTCTCTTCCTAAAACAGCTATTTTAAATCAATCGTGTTTGTTGCGTGTGAGAAGAATCACAATGCTGAATGTTAACTTTTCTTTTATGAATAGAGCAATCTCAATGTTGAGTATCAAAGTTCTTATATTGTAGTAGAAGTAATTCATTACAGTATAAATGCAAACAACATAACAAAGTAGTGTGCTTAATAGACATGTGGAACAATCACAATTGCATTGCTTTGGTTGCAAATGAACTATTGAGTTACATTTAAACTAAACTTACAGCAGGCGGCAACAACATTAGAAAAAGAAGATTAGGAGAGTAATTGAGCGAGGTAAATATTTGATTGATTGTTCAATTATGTGTAAAGAAATGTAGAATATTGGAAAGGGAAACTGAATATTGAAGATATGTTCGATACTTGTTCTCCACACGTGTGAGTAACTTCCACTCCCTTGTTGACAATCAGCTAATTGAGGCTGTGATTGTATCAACTGGCATATAAGAGTCCTTAAGACGATGTTTTTGTGTTCTTCCGTTTGAAGCCACACGTTTTTTTTTAGTGCTGCGCTGCACGGTGTGACAGTAAACTAAAGTTATTATTTATTTGTCTGTGGAAGTATGACAGAGCAAAGGAAAATAAAAGTGACGAAACAAACAAAATATGTGACCTCTGTCTGATGTGTGAGCGCGTCGGCCAAAGCAAAGGATAGGAAGGAACAAATACGATGTTAGAAAAAATTGCTATTTTGGAGAGGACATGACATTTCTTAAAATGCACCCAGTGGAAATGCTTCCATCAGAAATCTATTGCGACACAATCAGGAGGATGAGTGCGTTACTTACTGCTGGTTACAGACACTCTGAGCAGATTCCATGTCTTCAGAAAGATGTTAATGTGTTTCTCATACCACGTCTTCATTTCTGAAAAAAATATGTTGAAAATATAAAGATATTAAAACAATATATGGATGGAGGAAAAGAAAAAATAAATTGTGTGAAATGTCACTTTGACATTTGTTGTTTCCTGCCCCACTAAGCCTCCCCCTCAACTGAGAGTTGGTCCAACAAACAAGGCTTGAGTCTTGACACAGCTCAGGTAAATATAAGTTGTACCTGTTTGCTTCTCAATGAACTCTCCAACGGAGCCCACTATCTGGTCAGTTGCGTTCTGGAACATTCTCACCAAGCGTGTTTGCAGGATTACGATGTCTGGAAGGAGCTTGATCTGCCGAAATTCTTTCTCCTGAAAAAAAACCAAAAGCAAATTAAACAACTGCCCCATGGCAAATGGATACTTTAAAACTATAAAACTAATTTTGGGCATTGTTTACATTTTGTCTCAAGTTTGCATTAATGAAATGTCAAGGAGAGTCCAACATGTGAAGAGTTCATCCTTTTAATGTTCAATCTTACTAAAATTAACCCACTCATTTAATTCGATTTTAATGTTGTGTAAAAGCGGAAACTTTATATTTCTGCTAATTCAATGTATAAAACATAACCAACATCATCCCTTGGAAATGAATATCAACACATTTTTTAATAGTGTTTGCTTTGGATCAAACTGTTTGATAGAGAGTTAATTTCAAAGCCATTTTGTCATAAATCTTTACATCGCAAAGACGTTCACCTTCTGCAGGAACCTCCAGAGAAGCGGAAGTTCCTCCTTTTGATCATTCTGCTCCAGAATGTGTGTTAGGCTGAGCAACGAGAGCCTCTCCCTACAGCTCCACACCGCTGAGCTGTGGACCTGAGACCCCTGCGGTAGCGACGTTAGGAAAGTACAATCATCACCGAAGGTTGCCCTCATGATGAAGTTGGACGATATACGGGAGTCGGTTCTAATGCTGCCCTTGGCTTCTTGTAGGAGTTGATCAAGATCCTTGACACAAAATATGTATTGTAGTTGAGATAAGAGTTTACTGCAGCAATGGAAACATTTGTATGAAGCAAGAAAACAACCAAAACATTAGCATGTTGAATACATATCAGAATATTAAGAGAAGCAGTTTCAAATTAAACATAATAAGTGTATTATTATAAAAACATTACTCACATAATAACATTCATGACTAGACTACATTTTCTACATATGAGTCTAACTGCCTATTTTCAATTTATAAAAACCTTAATCATCACTCTTAAGTTGAAAAGAAGAATCTACTGGTAAAAGGTAAAAGGTGTTACCCTCAACAGTGGTGTCATAATATCAGCAGCCACAGTAGTCTCCCAGCTGTTTCTGGATGCTTTGGTTGTTAGGTTAGGATCAATTCCAGCTAGTCAAAGTCAAACGAAAGGCATAATGTAAAATCAAGCATGCGTTTTGTTCTCTACAGCTTAAAATACTTAAATATATAAACAGAAACATTCATAAATAGTACGCTCCTTTCATACAAATAGAGTTTTCTCTGTGTATCTTACAGATTTAGTCAAGGTAAGACCATATTTTAGTTTCTGTATTTCTGAATTGTATCAGAATTTGGCGATGGGTTCTTTCATCCCCCATGAAAAAAACAAGTCATAATGTCTAAGCCTAAAAAAATTCAACCTGAATTTTTTTCTTTTCTTTTTAGATTTCTCTCTACTTTTAGCCATGATGATTGTTTTGATAGAGGTGCAGGACTTATATTGCAGAGGAAAACAAGGCTGCTGTGAATGAAGTGTGACAGGAGCAGAACATGCCCTGAAACTGTGATATTAAGCAGCCTTATCAAACATTATGTTCAGTCAGTGACTGAGTGCTTGGGGCAGCAGTGGCTCAGTCTGTAGGGACTTGGCCTCATAACTGCGAGTGTGGAACTGGTGCCAGTTTACCTCCTGGGCACTGAAGAGGTGAGTACTCCTTGAGTATGGCAACTACTCCATGGTACCATGTGTTTGTGTATACCTGTATAGTAATGAGTATTTGTACTGTGTACTGTACTTTGTGTGAATTCAAAACAGAATTTCCCCTTTGGAGATTAATAAAGGTTCATCTTAATCTTACATAGACTGGGCTGTACTAGGTCTTGCAGAGATCTGATCACCAAGTGGACAGTTGTAACCGTGTCGTCAGCTCCTCTTCCAAGAGCCTGTGAAAGCTGATCCAGATCCTTTATTATGTGAAGACCGAGAAACATACAAACATCCTCCACTGGTGGCTGGATGATGCTCTGGACAAACTAAAATAACAGAGAGTGGACATGTGGTAGTCAGATTTAAAAGAACAGACCAATTAGTAGTGTTTTATATCTATTTTGCAGAGATCGCTATTTGGATATCATTTGTGTATATCCTAGCTACTGTACAGACAATATCAACTCTGAAATATCGTGCTAACTATTCAACAGATTACCCAACAGTGCAAAATTGCATTTCACTATAATTGACATCTTATTTTTAGAGCAACTCACCTGGGACTTCTCTGAGGTCCCAAGCAACATGGCCAGATGTGTAACCAGCCTAATCAGCGTAAATGGACTCAGAGACATGTTTTTAGTGTCTGTGTTGTTTCCCTGCTCAGGGTCTCCTAGGATGTGCCCAGGCCTTGTGCGATCCCTAGAACAAAAAATTACAGCATTGGTCAGTTAGTAGCCCGGGGGAGTTGTTTACATCTGCACAGCAGAAGTCTACATGACATTTGGTATTACAACTATTTAATAAATGGCTTGAACATAGTCACATAGATTACTCTAGTGTTGCTACTCTCAATTGAATGACAATCATTTGATTTTGTTCAATCTTAAACAGACTCTAAATTTCTCAGTTAGGAGTTTGGATTCTGGAGAAATAGTTGTAACTTCAGTATTTCACATAAATCAATGGCAATATAATAGACATTGTTCTACAAAAGGACCATAAATATGAAAATACTGTACAAAAGTCGCTTTGGGGTGGTCATTTATCTAGTGTTTACCAAAATGTTCCACTTCAATTTAATTACATTTGCATGTATTTTACCAATACATTGACAACTATATTCCCAAACTGAAAGAGTATCTTTGTGTCCTTACTTTTTTCTGCCAACAAATATCGTTATACATTAGTTTAGATTGATCCCTCCCTATATTATTTCCACCCTACTATTCTGTTTTATAACACTCACTGCTGTAGATTAATCGGTCTGAATCCTTGCAAGGGAGAATGTTGCTCCCCTCCAACCTCCTGTCCACACTCCAAACATCGGCCTCTCTGCATGGGCAGGCCGCACTGCAGGGAACATATAAGGTCAAATATGTGTTCCTATCTACTGTATGCATTTATTTCTTCACAAAGAAGTGAAATTAAGTTTACAGGAAGTACATTAAAAAACCTTACCTCGTCAACAAAGCATGGGTGATTATTTGGACACACTGAAAAACAATTAAACAGTTAAAATATGCTTAAATCATCTGTATAACTGGAACAGAAGATAAAGTAAACTAACAATCAGTAGGTGGGTTTATGTGACTCAGCATTAACTATGATGGTGCAAACCAAGAGCAGTACAGAATACCTTAAGATATTTAGACATCTTTAATAGAAAATCTTATTTTGAGAAATTATTTTACAAACCAAGATACAAATATCCAAAAAATGATGCAAAAAATACAATATGAAATGTTGGCTGAATTATGAATGAATCAAACTTACCATACCAAGTGAGCTTCCCATAGTCTTGTTGTATGGCTGCCTGGGCAACAGCTAACATATCATCAGGCATTGTAGGTATAAACGCTGCCTGTTAAAGCAAATAAAGATAAATTGTTAAAGATGGCTTGAAATAAATATTTTTAAGCTTTTCCTTAAACAGTTGGATTTACATTTTTTATTCCAATGTATCAGCTAAGTATTAATGGATTTACAGAATTCTTTAAATGTATTCTTCAAAGTTGTAAAATGTACTTTTAATGATCGAGAAAGGGCAGATATGACACGTTTACCTGCATATTTTCAGGAGACAGACCAAGTTGCTTGAGTGGCATCACCAGTAGATGAGTTCCAGTGAGCAGCACAGCTGCCAGGTGGATGTTTAGCTCGATAATAGTGTTGTCCACAATAGTAAGGTCATGGGTTATGGCCAGGGATCCTAACCTGTTGTGAACCAAGGCTGAGGCAAGATCCCTTACTTCTTTTTGATATAGATACCTTGAGCCCTGGATGAGTTCTGCAAATGCATGGCAAATCTATGGGGAAGATATAAGACGATAGACAGTGGCAATTAGATTTTTTTTTCTAAAGCACCATTATAAACCACATTATTAGCTAAGGGTAGCTGTCTGATCAATAGCACTAATCGACAAAAAGTCCCCAAAAAATGTAATCAAGACAATGTCCATTTCTGTATCACAGAGAAACAGATATTCCATTGTTTTACTTCTCGATTTGTATATGTTTTCATTATTTAGAAATCCACTGATATTACACAATATAATGAGTGTTTTTGTCACAAGGAGTACTCATCAGCTTTTGAAAACTGTTATCTGATGTCTCTGGAGTTTAAACTGCTGGAGATGGGATCAGGGATCTTAGGCTGTATTACAGAAAACCCATTTCTCTAATTGGATCATATTTTCCTGATGTGCACAGGCATTAGTTTTGGCTGCTTCCTATTGTTTGCTAAAGGGTTGATGTTTAAAATAATATTCAATTTCTTCGTACCTCAGAGGATGGATGAAGGCTAGTATTTGCAGATCTGTACAAAGTAGTAACCTCTCGAAAAAGAGCCAGGAGAATGAACATTGTTCGCTTTCTTGGTGGAGCGGTGCATTTCTAAAACAATAGATGACAAACAAAAAGTATTAGTCAGCAGCTTCTATTCAGATCGAATGAATGTGTGGTCCCCCTATATGGAAATGAAAATGAAAGCATAGTCATTTGTTTGCCAGTTTTTAAAATATATAAATCTATATAATTGCCCTTCTATGTATCTGTTGATTTTCCTTTTTTTTTTTTTTTACTGTAGTGTGTATTATAATTATTCAGTCAATTGTAGTGAACATTAAGTCACTCAATTTAGTTCAAGTCAACATTCAAGTGCAAACTGAAAAGTTTAAAATACCTCGCAGACGTCTTCTATCTGCTCGACATCACAGTCCACTACTGCCTTGGCCACTGCATCCCTTATAGTCTTGTATTCCTCCCCATACACAAGATACTGATCCATCTGGCCTTCATCTACATTCTGGTCACACGAGTTAGAAGAGCAAAACAAATTCAACCATACAGTATGAATGAATATTTTGTGGATTTTGAGATTTCCTGGTTGCATATTTATGTAAATGAAAACCTGAATATGAATAAAATGCCTGCATCACGCAATAATTGTGAACAGTATACATACATTTTTGTATTAACATAGCAATTTAATGGTGTTGTACCTGCTGATGGATATTGTTAGGGAAAAGCCAGCTAAACCGCGGTTGTTTGACAAGAGTCTGGACCGACTCCACACCCTGCCATTCACTGAGTTTGCGGATCAGGTAAATGCGGTACCAATCATTCCCACTGTCCTCACAGACTTTAATCACCATTTTCAGGAAATCTTCTGATCCATCTGGGAGTTTTCTCTCTGCAACAGCAACATAGTCCAACTTTTTATTATGTATTTATTTGTTAAACCAATTTAAACTGCCGGCAGCTTGCTATCTCTTACCACACAGATCGTCACTGATGAGCTGGGCAGCCATGGTGAGCGAAAGACGCAATCGTGCAATGTCCTGCAGATGTTGAATAGACACTGTTGCTGGAACAGAGTTGACTTCAGCCAAAAAGAAGTGTAGGAATTGTCTTTCATCATTGTAAAATGGCTTCACTTCTAAATCTGTGAAGCCTTCCTGAGGCATCTTCTCCCACATGGAGTCCTACAAAAACAAAAAAGTAAAAGGAGCATGAGTTAAAGAAATATTGGTTGTGAAATGTGAAAATTACTTTTTGGAGCTATAACTTACTATAGACTCTCACAGCAAGTCTTATCATGCTTCGTGGGAAACCAATTTATTTGTGAAGCATTTTGAAATGTTATGAAATATTAAATGAAATCTTAAATATTTAAAATATATTTTACCTCCAAGCAGTTTATGTACAAAGCATACAGCTCTGCTTTATCATCCTCGTGCACAAATCTGCTTTCTTCAACAGATGACAAATGCTGCTGCAAATATTCCTGGACTTCGTCAAAGCTGAAACACAATTAGGTTGATCATATGTTTTGTAAAATGCAGAAGATCTTTGCAAGGTGAAAATAAATCAATATTCGATAGCAATTCAAGTGTCAAGTGGAGAAAAATGTATTCCTCAACCTGGTTTTGGCTCTGTTTTCAGCCTTTAGAAAATCTAATCTTTGATGGGTGTTTGGTGGGAAATTATCTCAAAGAGTGCATTGCTCTTGAATGCAGCTCAAGGCCTGACTCCTCCCCCAACCACTCCCCCTATCAAAATCAGAATACCTTTATTAGTCCCACAAAGGGGACATTTACAAGGCACCTGTTGGCCCTGTCTGTCATGGTTGGTGGTACAGGTAGGCAGTCCATTTGTAATACATAGATAAATTGGTCTTCTCAGTCTTTTATGATATGCTCACTTGATGCTTTCTTACAGTTTGTCCTGCTTATTGTCCTGCACAACAGTAATTTGTTAAAACCTATACCTGTGGTGGGTAGGACCAAAACATTTAAATTGTTTGAATGCCGCATGGTGAGCCATTTTAACCCACTTTTTACCTTTTTGTCTGTTCACCTGCTGCTGTTTTCCACAAGTTTGAGGTTAAAATTTGCTGCCGTATAACAGCATTGGGATTAAAATGATCGTGAGGATGCTTGAAATGAATGACAATTACTAGTAGGCCTACTACTACGGGTTACTGTAAGAGGTGTGCATACACCGGGGCTTGTCTGGTGATTGGGGTTTACGACAGACATGTGAAAGGTTTAACATGCCAAAAATAATACTGCCTACCCCGCCTTTTAAATCTATTAAGACATTTTTTTTACAACCACATCCCTAAATTGATAGAATCAGCAATGAAATCAAAATCCTCTGAAACACTACTGATGGAGCTGATATGTATGTATATCTGCCAGCTAATCATTTAAGTGAATTTTTTAAATTTAGTTGCCTACCTGAACTTCAGCAGCAGCTTGAGGATCACGGATCGCACGACTGGGTTTTTATCTGGGGACTCGTCAAAAGGTGACAGATCTTTGGTGTGTATCTGTTTATGTTCTAATTTTGAAAGATGATTTAATGTAAATATTAGTGACAACATATAAAACAACTGGGATAAAAGAAATATAAATTGTCAAAATACTGCTTGCACAGAATTATCACATTTCCATAGTCAGACAAAACCGGGTTCATTGGAAGAGAAGGGATCAGAACAAAAAGGAAGGCAATAGTATACGATACATGATATTTAGTTAGATATTCTCTGTCTGAGCTCTAAAGTAAAAGTACCTGTCTCAATAATCAGGTAGGACAACAGGTGGGTGATAACATGTGTTTCTGGTGGAGTGTTGTCTTTAAAGCACACAGTGGAGAGCAGGTCAATGAAGAAGCCATTGCAACGCCGACTGAATTCTGCATTTTTCCTCAAAGAAACCCTGAAGAGTCACAAAAAATGCAACATAAAAATGTGTAAAAGTTAGAGTGATGACATTCTATCCATGTTTATTCTAAAAATTAATCAAATGATCCCCAACATAATACTCAGGTGACTTCTTGCTTCAGTTTACATTCCACTGTTTGTTTTCTGAGTAATTCACAGTAACATCCACTGAGACACACCTGTTCACACCCATCAAATGGAAAGCAATGGTTCTATACCATGACTGGACATGCAAAAGACAGGTTAGGTGTATACACAATAGAACAATCCTTGGGTGCTATTGGTTTCACCGATTAATGTCTGAAGAGCATATATTTCTTATATGCTGCTAGAAAGAGTACAGTCTAAAAAAGTCTCTTGTAATGAGTAAAGGCAAACAAACAAGTTCATACTAGCTTGTATAAAATTAACAGCTGAACCTGTAAGCTCTAAAATGGCTTTTGTGTAATTTATCTTGGCTCCTGAAAGACTTAATTGTACCCTTGGATTGTTACAGGTGTTAATTGTTTTTTGTGACAGTTGTTCCATTATAGAATGAATGAAATAAAAGATAATGCATCAAATACTGTAAGAATAAATGGTACACCGGTTTTTCTGTTTTTAAACTTACCTGATCTCTTCAGAGACATGTGGCTGAAAGTCATTTGGTAACTGCTGCCTGCATTTGGGACAAGAAGTCTGTCCTGCATCAATGCTTGCCCTGACGCATGTTAAGCAGAACATGTGATGGCATGGCAGCTTTACAGGGTCCTGAGGCTCCCTTGTGCATACGTCACATTGAAGTCCAAACCTTTATCAAAATAAAAAGGGATTGATGATTCAATGAAGTGCAAAAAAATAACATTCGGAAGTATTTTATAAAGAATAATAAACTACCTCCTACCTGAAAAGCTGATCACTTGCCCCCTGCTTACATGAACTTAGTATTTCAACCACAGCTCGAAAAGCCTTCATTGATTTCACATCAGAATTTCCCTCCAGAACCTTTAGAATGGGCCAAAAACATTGGAGTAAAAAACAAATATTAATCATTGTGTTTTCAATTTTTTCTAAAGTGTAAAATATAAAAGTGAAATGTAACATCTACCATAAGTGTGAAGATACCTATTCAACACCAAAACTCTTCTCAAGGTAAAGAAAGAATGAATGTAGGCTCCACTGCTTATTTATGTTTCTATTGAGAATATTTTGCTAAATAAAAGTCTACTAACCTTGTTTAAGGTTTGAATCTGATTCAGTACCAGTGTTCTAAGCTGATTCTCATCATTTTGGAAACCCAGCAGCATGTGGTCCACAAACAATGAGAGGATGTTGATGCGCTTCCATCCTTTCCTTTAAAATATTAAAAAACATAATCTTGGTTAATGTGTTGTACAACACCATACTTTCTTTCCATCATTGGGGAGATGCAACATAGCAACAGATGGTTTGAATTATCATCTCACTTGTTAAAAACATGGCCTTTGCAATGTGAATAAACCCACTTTAAGTTTCCCCTTAACCTTAATAGGTTTAATATAAGTATTTAAAAAAAATCTTCTGACTGTAGTACAAGTGTTATTTATCAATGCCTGAAACTCTCACAAGTCGCGAAAGAGCTCATTCTAACAAACCCTGCATGAAAGGCCTGGCTAACTCTGGGCAGATCACCAAATCTATCACCAATCTATAAAAGGGCTTACAAACAAAATCAAATAACAAATGCATCAGCATCTTACCTGACACCTCGAAGTATTTCCTTGCATCGCTCTTTATACTGTTGAGAGCAAATCAAATCCAAAGAGGCTCGTAGCCGCTTGACCTGCATCAGCCAGCGCTGGCATAGAGCATCAGTATCTAAATTAGCAGACTCCAGGCATTCAACACATGCCTGGGCTGCAAGTACATCCAAAACCTACAATGCAAAAAACTGTTTGAAATGATTTCAATATTGTTTGCAATTTGTGAAACAATCTTATGAAAAAAGCCAGATGATTGGAAAATTATGAAAACAAAAGTCTTTTCAAAGAAGACAGAATAAGAGTGGTAAATATTGTTGAAAGGGAAACGAGCCAAGCATCTTCATTTCCCATCATCTCATCAGTGTACAGTATCAATTGGTTACAGCCTGTAATCTATGGCGTCACTGGTTCAGCAAAACCTCTTCTTTCAAAGACCTCCTCGGCACTACAGCCGATGGGCTGCACTGGACTGCTGAAGCATTGCCGCATTGGCTATCTGATCACTGGACACAGCAGCCACTATTTGCTAAACCTCACTATACAGTAGAAGCAACAAACAGTTAGAATAGAGCTAAATGAATTCTTCCAGATAACCAACGGTACAACCAGTCTTCTTCGTTTGCAAACAGGTAACAGACCTGTAACAACACAACCATAGCGATTTGACTGGTAGCCCACCGCCACAACAAAGACAACACGCCTGCTTTTCTTCACACGAACTGTTCGTTTAAAGTGGACCTATCATGCTATATTTGAATAATATATTGTAGGGCCATACCTATATAAAAGATGTCTGTGAAGTTTTTTTTTCAAAATACCAAACAGATCATGCATTTGAGCCATGCCTCATTTCGCTCTATTTGCTCTTTTCCAGCCCTGTTTTTGCAAGGGCTGATTCTGTGGCACATTAGCCCCTTTGCAGGGGGGGCGAGGCACGAGCGTCATGTTACCATGCTGTTACCATGCCACGGCAACCTCCCATTCCCCTGATAGGTGGAGAGTTGCCAATATAGGCGGAGCTCCTTGTTTCTGACGTCAGAGATATTTCAAATCTGGATCAGTCTGTATCAGATCTGTTGCAGTCCCGTTTTTAGAGATTTGGGTATGGAGGAAAAGAGAGAGGGTTGTGTTTTCTGACACTTGGTGAGTACCCTGACACACCGGGGGCACATATTCATGCATAAAAGACGTACAAAAGTGCATTTAGCATGATAGGTCCCCTTTAAGCTAAAGAGCTAAAAGACTATCAGCCAAGTAGCATTTGCATGACATGCGTAACATGAGGTTGTTCTGCCAGTTAGTGTTAATATTGTAAACGGATAGTAACATGCAAGCTAACCACCTTCCTCACTCGGAGCCCTTACCATACATGTTACAATCTGACATGAATTGTGAATGGGCATTTTTTAAACATAGCAACACACGCAAAGACTAAAGGCACGGACACACCAGGCAGATTATCGGCGTTGGTGGGCGTCAGGCCGACGATGAGCGTCGACACGCCCTACTCAGATTGGTGTGTCCCGCACCGTCGGGTCTTTTCAGCCGTACCGACGCCTTTTCGGCCAAAGGCAGTCCGCAAAAGAAATCACTCTGATTGGCTGTTCAGGCAGCGAATCATTGCATGAGAAGCGAAACGGAATTGAGGGACCCAAACTAACTATTAAGAAGGCAGATTGGTGTGTCCGGGCCTTTTGAAGTTTCTTGCTTTCACCAGTAAAGACCTCACAGTGTCCCTACCTTGAAGTGCTTGAGTTTAAAGATACTGACCATTTTGATCAAGACAACTGTGAAAGTTAAACTTGCATGGAAGACTAGCTCTTAATCTGTGCGTACGTTTATACCACAGCCTCTCTTACATAGCCCCGTCAACCTATTTTAGAAGAAGTCTCTTCTCTTGTTGACAACACAACAGCCATAGTTCCAGCCCTGCAAATTAAACATTCCCATATTGAGCATACAAAACAGTTCTAAAATGTAGGAATAAGTTTACCATTTCTGGACAATTTCTGTGCCTGCTTTTTCGTAGCGGAGAAACCACATCAGGCTGAAGAGTTATCATCCATGAGAGGTTCTGAAGACGGCTTTTGTAGACATTGTAGGCAATGTGGATGTCAGGAAGAGAAAGCTCATCTTCAACTCTTTTTCGACTCTGTAATTCATTGACGCAGCTGGCAAGGGCCTGACACAAGACCTGAGGAGAAAATGCACAACTAGATAAATAAGATTTCTTTAATTGTTAATGAGGAACCACGTTCAGGTATTTGACTAAAGCATTTTAAAGGTTTGCCGAAACAAAGTATCCAATAGTAGAAAATGTAGGTACTTGGTTAATGCTTGTTTATGCACCATGAGTTGAGTTTCATTTTCTTCCATTACTTGCCATGTGTTGCATCAAACGACTATTTTAATGACTGTAGAAATGCCTGAATCGGTTAAGATATTTATTATAGAATAGGTATAGAATTATTAGTGTACATTTAAGTCACTGTGTAATATTTACTCATGCTGGTGCCATCGTTTTCCAGGCACAGATGTGAGTCACATTCTGCCACAGACCCAAGCTCTTTTCATCAAACTTATATTCTATAGACATTTAAACGTGTATCAGCATTTACCTCAGATCTTTCATACTTATTGGTATTATTCAACTTTAAAGCCAGCAATTTAGTATTGCATCAGGGTTTCAAATAGTCTTGATTAGTGCCGTCAATCGCAAGATAATGTATCTGGTAAAAAAAAAGTGTTGCGTTGTAAAAAATAAATGCATGACATGCTGGTAGGATAAATCTGAGTTTTTTACTTTATTATAACGTTTCGGTAACACTTTATATTAAGGTACACACATTTACCATCAACTAGATGTTAATTAACATGCATATATTAGCAGTATATTGGCTCTTTATTAGTCATTATAAAACACTTATTAAAGCCTTATTCTACATCAGTGGTCCCCAAAGTGGGGGGCGCGCCCCCCCTGGGGGGCACAGAGGCATGAAAGGGGGGGCGCGAGAGACCAGGAGGAAAAATGGTTATAAAAAAAAGATGAAAGAAAAAAAAAAATCATAATTTGAAAAAATATTGATTCGAAAATAATATGATACAGTACTATTACGCCTGGATCTCTGTTTTTCATTAAAGCTTGGCTCTGTGTGTGTCTGAAACGAGCCATTTTGTGTGCGTGGATCTCCGTGCGGTACCGGAGATTGTTGTTGGTAGCTTCTGGTGCTAGCGAGTTACGCTAACGGATATAAGGAGTTTTTTCAACAACAAAGTGGAGGAGAGTCCTCTCCTGTCAGACTGAGAGACTCAGTGAGCTAAAGGACTCTCTCAGTGTTATCTCAGTGGGTCTCAAACGTTTTGGTCACCATTAATGTAAACAATTATTTCCGAGGCACACGTTTATGATCATTATAGTTATAAAAAAATAAGAGAATAAATGAAAAACAGGTATGAAATACTATATGACAGTAAAAAAAGAATAAAGTTTAAAAGGGTGATTTGTAAAATATCCATAAAGAAAAAGTAAATCTGTTTACAGTTCTGTTTCAAATGGGTGTTGAGAGATGTATCCATAGATCTCTTCATGTTGCTCTCAAAGTGCACCAGATTGATGCATTTAACTTCAATATTTAAAAATAAATCTTCCTGGGGGAGCTTGCCCCTGGACCCCCCTATGTAAGGTCCACACACCACCTATAAAAATAGCACTTTACCCCTGCTTACACCTATATGCCGTGAGCTGATTATCGAACAGTCGCGGGTACACTGTGTATATGCGTGGGGAGTGTTGCAGTAGAAAATTCCACTGTAGCGACCGGTACATTAATGGGAAACCCTAAATGTTTGAGCACCCTCTATGAAACGTCAAGCTACCCCACAGCACCCCCAAAATAAATCTCTGGCCCGTATTTTTATTTCTCTAAAAGGGGGGCCTGACAGAAAAAGTTTGGGAACCACTGTTCCACATGACCATATTCAACAAGTAATAGGCCATTAGTTGAGAGTTTTTCCTCAATAACCCTCTAATTAGTGGTTATTTATTCCAAGTAAGGAAGTTGTTGTACATGAGTTTTGGTCTTAATAGCGCTGCTCAATATGGGCCTAAATAGATTAAAGAAATAAAATAAAATGTAATGCAATATTGAAGAACTCTTAAAAATTCGAAAAACCTTTGTATTGCAGATTACATTGTTGAAATACTACAAAATACAAATATAAAATATGCAGTTAAATGTTTTGACAACATTTGAATTATGGTATTGCAGCAAATGGCTACTGTCATCATGACCACTTTATTCACCCTCACCTGCAATTCTTCATCTGATGCCACTTTCATGGTCATGGAAACAAAATCCTGCAGGTACCTTTCGAAAAATTCTTTCTTCATTTTTTCTTCCACATTTTTGGATATATAATTGCCAAGTGGAGTGTTCAAGAAAAACTCCTGGAAATGACCCGGTGAATGAGCTGCAAAGAACATTTGAAAATGGCATTAATAAGTTAGGGATACATTTTTCTAGCTATTACTTTAAATGAAGAACATAACAAGGATTTAGCATCAAGATGTGTGACTTTACTTTCATGTCTGTATGTTTGGATCATGAGCCCATCCAGGAAGTCTTTAATCCACCAGCTGAAAGGCATGCGGCAGTGCATGGTGTTGCCACCTGTGCTATGGCTTTGTACCATTAAGACACTGGAGCTGTAGAAGACACATAATATGAATGTGGTTTTGTTAGACAGGAATCACATTTTCTATGTTCTATCCAGAACGCTGTAGCTTCTAAATGGTGCTGCAATTCACTTGATTTACTTGTATTCTTTCTTGAGTCATAAAACGAAAATATTCAAATAAGACAGGCAAAAACATGTTTGTTCCAACGCTGTTTTAAAAATAGTCTGTTGTAAATGGAAAAAAAGAGAAAAAAAGACCAAAACAACATCAGTGGTGGGTTGTCAAGATTATCTTGAGTGCATATGTGCTGAATAGATGCCATTAATAAACAACCACAAGATACTCACTTGCTTTCCACCCTCTTAAAAGGTACATGGAGCATCTGTTCGCTCCCAAATATCTCAAGCCATAGATTCCTGACGTCATCGCACTCATTCAGCAAAAGCTCCAAATTGCAATCTCGGTCAATGACTGAGACCAACGTAGCCAGGAGTGGAGTCACAACTGCTTGGATTTTCCTCCACAGTGTGTGTCTGTAAGAAGGATTTAAATGTATTTCTTCACATCTACCGGAAACATGTGTTTATAAAAAATGATAGGAAATTATAAACTAGCATAAACAGCTGTATGGCTTGCAGTATTGCATTTTACAGAGAAAGATAGTATGCAAATATAGCAAAGTTAAAAAGCTCACATAAACTGCCAACGCTAAGGGTCTAAAGAAAAAACTTACAGGAACGTCCCCCCTTCTTGAAGAGAATTGACATTAGATGCCTCCGTTAGAACCCAGCTTTTTGGATAGGGGATGTTGGCCTCATAGTCTTCTAACAGCATGTGAAGACGCTTCCTCACAATGTTTGCAAACACACCTTTAAGAAAACATTTGACAGTAAATTGCATTTTAGCTAGGTCTAGGTCTGGTCATATATCAAAGATAAAAAAATACTTATTTTCTTACGTTGAGTTTGAGTTTCATCCAGAAGTGTCAGCAAGTTCTCAATTCTTTTTGTGCTGAGTTCTCCACTCTCTGTTGCATCTCTAAGCATGTTCACTGCACTCTGAACACAACTTCTTGTCAGCTCTGTTATATCATACACATCTCCCAAGACCTGTAACAATGATATGTAAATAAATAACAGTAGCAGTGCAGCATCTGAACAAGGAAACAAGTCCTAAAGGAAATTCTCCTTCAGTTTCTGACTTAAGTCAAGTTACCATGTCTGATTATAAGGATTGTATTTTTCTTCCAGGTATGAATTTTAAGTGGTAAATTACACTTACAGTTGAGTCATTATTTTGTGCCACACCATTGTAGTCTTCTGTCTTCATGGCTTGAACAAAAAAACAATATATGGGTATAATTTATATTTACCTAAAATGTACAGCATAATTTAGAAATAAATGATGAATTACCCTCGGGTAGTTCTTTGAAAAGTTCACTTATGCGTAGATTTTTTAAGGAATGAACATCAGACGCAAACTCTTTTGATCTTCTGAGATCATCAATGTGAACAGACCTCCAAGGACCTGAAAAAATATATTTCTTTAGAGTCGGGGTAATAAAGACACAATATGCAGGATTTCACATTTCAGCTTTTGTTTTGTCTGTCTTTTGCTGATGCTTTTAATGTGTTAAACTGAACTGCTTTTATCTGTATGAAAGGTGCGTAATAAACGTATCATCAATACTAAGTTGTAGCACACTGAGCTAAATCTTCTACTGCCGTGTTTATGTGTAACAGCAGGACTGACCGCCTTGAAACCCAACATACGAGGTCCCACCCTCGATTCGAGGAAGTTTGGTGACAAAGTACACAAACGTTTTTGTGTTTGCGTTTAAGGCCCACTTGCTTATTTCGTTGGTGCACGAATACCTAAAAAATCCAAACATTAGGAATAAGTCAATAACATACAATTTAACCAACTTGCAATAATGTAAGAGAAAGACATAAAAGAAAGTAATGTCATGAGCTAGACTCACTTGGCTGAGGAAAGAATATTTCTCCGATGGGACTCTTCATCATAGTCTGTTTGGATAATGAGCACTTTGTCTGCAAGTGTTGAGCCAAGAAATTCCCTAATACAAGGACATAGGTATGCTTTACATTTGAATAAACAGTGATCACTTGAAAGTTGTATGCAGGCCTCTAATATCTACTTATATTAAGCACAATGTTATTAGTTTTAAGATCTAATCGAACAGTGTGGGAAAAGGCTATTGCTTAGTTTACACACCTGATTTTCTTGAGGAAAGAGTACTCTGTGTCAAACTGTTGCAGTGATAGCAGCTTAATATTATTAAGCTTTGTCACATTCTGCAGTTGTTGAGTGTCTGCTGCAGTCAATAGCCTGGAAAATGTTGTGACCTTAATAACAAAAAAGAACTCTGAATTACTAAAATGTCACGCAATGTTTTTCTCACGTGTTACTGCTGACAGAAACAGAAGTATTTGCATATAAAAAACAGGAACAACACTGTACTGCAAAACCGGAAACAATTTTAACCTGCTGCTTCTACTTCACATAAGGATATTTCAAGGTCTCAAGTTAACTTAAACTTAAAGCGAGAGTGAACAAAATGAAAATGGACCCTTCAAATTAGCAATAGCTGTTAAAAGTGCTTCAATGTTAGATAGAATTGTGTTTTACCTCAGTGAAGAATTGGGACTGTTCCAACTGCTGTGTGTGATACACAATGTAGTCTCCCAATGAGCTGTGCATCTCTTCTTTAACATATTCTTTCATTATATGTTCTCTTTCCTCATCAGGTATTTTGGATTTGTCCAAACGGACAACAGAGTCTGGAGTGGCGCAGTTGAGCAGAATGTCTTTGGCTTTATCCAGAATGGTCTGGGCATCTCTCTCAACACCTTGATTCTCCGTTATTTGCAGGACCACAGAGGAACATGTGTCTGAGTGATAGCCAATGAAGACATCACATGGAGCGTATTGCTTTTTCATAGGTTGTTGACCACTTGAGTTTACAAAATCATCAACCCATTTCTGTAGATGTCTGGCAATTTCCTTCTGCTCATTTCTGAGAACAGTGTTGATGTCAACATAGTGTTTTTCCAACCTGTTAATCAGTGGGATCGGGAACTGTTCGTAGACCACCTCTTTCTCTTCAATGACAATGAGCCTGAAGTTTTTGTGAACTCTGCATTTTACACGATGTGTTCCTAATCCAAGATCAACATACTTTTGACCCCCTAAGGTCACGTAGTATTGGTTGAGAGCATCATACAGACTTTCGTAGAGATTCTGAAGGTTAAGAAGCACAACTGTCTGTCCAGTCTCCATGCAAACCTTGACACGATTGATGTTTCTACAAATCTGCGTGTACTCTTGATCCTTTGGGAAACTAGACCCAAAGATGATTTCTGGATGGATTTGTTGATGGAAGAATATCTGTTGGAGAATCTGAAGAGCTGCATAGTTTTTTGTGAGGATTAAAAGGTATCGACTTTCATCCACTTTGAAAGCTGGAGATATGCTTTTCTCGAACAAATCCAAGGTGGTGATGCTGGCATTGGCAAAGTCATCTCCGAGTTCTTCGCGGAATATGCGCATCACATCCACATCATCTTTTCCACTAAAGTTTCTCAGGACTGCTTCAGTTATTTGATCTGCTGTAGGACTCTTGTTACTGATTTTGGTCATTGAAAATATCATCTTAATCAGACTGTAGAAATCCCGCAGACCAAAAAAACCCTTGCCCTCTTCGCATACTGTCATATATGCTTTTGCAAAAGACTCAAAGAGGTGTTTTATCTTTTTCAGAACATTTTCTTCAGACGAGCATATCCCTTTAGCACTTTTGATGAGCTCTTCCTGGTTTGGATCTCCACGGGACACAAATATTCCACGATTCATCTTAGCAGGGTCAAGTGCCCAATTTGAAATTCCAATGAACCCAACTCTTTTATGAGGTTGTGGCTCATCATCCACGCAGCCTTCTTCGAGTAATGGATGCAGTGTTTTCAGTGGCATTTTAGGGGAATCTTCAGCCAATCCAATCTCGTCAAGAACAACTACTGAGCTGTATTCATCCAAGTTTTTGCTTTCCTGAAAGCGAGCACACTGTTTGAATGTGTTGATGATTCCTTCAGGAGTTGAATGAGGGCTGCACTGGAAAGAGACAAGATGTATTTGCTTTAGCCTCTTGTAGAGTTCAGAATGTGAGGCAGGGCCCTGCATTGCATCAGCAACTAGGGTTTTGGACAGGGATTTGGAGCTCCCCGGTTTCCCAACAATAAACAAGGGAATTCTTAGCTCAACGCAGATCACCATCATGAAGAAGTTCTCTTTCAAAGCCTCATTCCTGGCTATAGTTTTACCCATGGGTACACCGTTGAGTAGGAGGTCCTGCATGAGTTGGATTTCCTCCAGTACTCTCTTTGTGCTGTATCCAGGAAGCAAATGGTTGATCATTTCCTGATATGGCCTTTTGTCTTCCAAGGAAGACTGATAGCACACTCCAGTGGCCATCAAGAGTGACCAGATTACTCTGTCACTATCTTGTAATAATGACAACATCTTTGTGTTTTTTTCCCTCTGACTTAGCTCTTTAAGGTATACTCTCTTTCTCTCATCAAACATTGGGTGATTTTTGTGGAACCATACAAACACGTGCATGCAGCGTTCAACATCCCTCAAACTGACAAAACTGCATTCATCTTTTCTCTCCCTCATGAACTTTTGGGATAACGCCAATACCTGAGTTATAGTTGGAACATAATGCCTCTCTATCAAGTTGGTCTCTACCTGTCTTTTCACTATATGTTCCGTGTACATTTGCTCCGTTGAGTCATTGAGCTGCCCAAAATCCCAAACAAGAGGAATCATGCTGGGGGGTAACACATGAACACGATACACAAGCTGACGAAGAGGAATGGAGCCAAGTCTGTCTTCTGTCTCCTCAGCCCTGACCCGATAGCCCAATCCAGATGCCTCTAACCTTTCGATCATCTTGTCTGTGTGCTTCCTGTAGGGGTTGCATGCAGCAATAATCTGTAGTCCTGTTTGAGAGCCAAGTTGTTGTCCCTGCACAGAGTTATCACAAACAATCTCCTTGATGCTGTTGATGGCCTCTGTGGTGTTTGCTTCATCAAAGAAAAGAACTGAGTCAAATGCATGAGCCTCTTTATTGGTCCTTGCAAGAGTTTCTGCTTCCTTCACTTTTTCATATATCATTTCTGATGTAGTTCCTCCATGAACCTTGACCAGTTTCAGGTTCTCTGCCGGTGCTCCACACCTTCTCAATTCACACATGAACTTTATGAGCCTTGTCTTTCCGCATCCTGTTTCACCCATTATGACAACTGGGATTCCACATCTAAATCTCATATGGATCGCCATCATTTTGAGAATGTTATCTGTAGTCAGTTCGTACGTTTCATCAGGATCTGTTGGCCACTTGATGCCAAGCACACTGCACAGGTGCTCGATCTTGTCAGCTCGCGGAAGCTGATCAAAGTCCCTATTAAAAGGGACTCTCTGATGTTTTAAGCCAGTGTACAACTCTTGAGTCATAATGTTTTTTTTTATCACTTTGCCTGTTAAGGGATTTATGGCATCAACCCCTTTCTGGTCATTGAGCACTAGGTGAAACCCAATGAATGTCATGGACTCATGGTCATCATTAAAAAAGATGTATGGGTGTGGCTCAGATTCCCACCTTTTTCTGATGAGGAATGGAGCTAAATCTCTTTCATTGAGCCCACTCATGTCAATTTGTTGCCTCCCTGGGCTCTGGTCAGTGATGCATAGTGATGGTGTTGCAAAGTCTTTAGACATCAAGATCATGAACTCGACCACAAAGTTTTTGAACCCAAGAAGAGTGTCTCCAACAAACTCAGGTTTGCAGAATACTGAATTCTCACTGTCTTGCAACTGAAGATTAAGGAACCAGACGAAGTTACGTAGCTCTGCCCATGATGGATCTAATATGCCACAGTAGAATAACAGTATCTGAAGAAACTGTGCATGAGTCCCTTCAATGCCGAGGTAAGTGAAGTTGTCCAGATTGCTGTTGTTGTAAAAACGTGAGAGATACTGGTATGGTCTTTGATAAGCTTCACTCTTGAAACATTTATCATCCATGAGGGGGTCTCCACTCTCCATGTCAGTGTTTTCATCTCTCCTCATTTCCAAAGCCATTACTTCTTTTGGTGGACGACAAAATACCTTCGGGAAAACGTCTGTGAATGCAAAGTTTTCCTTTCGTTCCTAAACAATATGAAAAATAAATATTATTTAGGTTTATAATCAATCAATTAATCAATCAATCAATCAAGCCTATCCTCTATTTCATTAAATTGTTTCACCTCACTCTTCTACTAGCTTCTTATCGGGGATACTGAAATGACCTCTAAACTATATTCAATTCAATCAGCAACAACAAAAGTCTATAATTGTGACAGGATAAAGTTTTATGTTTCAACATTGCTTTGCAGAGAGGTCAAATTAAGTTATTCAAGAGTTATTTTTATGATAATGAAAACTACAAGAATAAAAACGAATATACATTTAAAAAATAAAACCAATACAAAAACTTGATATCATTTCATAAAATGACAAATGGACAAACAGTATATATCAACGTACAGTTCCCAGGTCATATCCGGGCTGATGATTTGGGGATTCCAGTAACTCGATGATGTACAAGTGTCTGTGGGTACAGCGCCACATCAGTCCATCTGAGTCCATCAGGTACCCCAGAAAGAACATTTTGAATAGGAATTCATTCAAGCCTTTTTGGACCTGGATATTATAATTTGGATTAATAGAACATGTTAATGTGATTGGATAAAGCAAGTTTTGATTTAGGATTTTCTGAGAACAACATTGCTTTCACTATTATGATAATATAAACATTGCTTACCGAGGATGTGACATCGAAGTGAAACAGCTTGAGATCTTTTTGTTTTGGTGTGTCATACATAGACTGGAGAATCTTGTGGTCATCAACTTCATGTTCAGTTAGTCGGATGCACTTTTTGAATGCAGTTCCTTTTTCAGCACATTCCTCCAACTTTTCATACAATCTTTCGACATACAATGACTTGCCTAAGAAATGGTGGAATAACCAAAAATCGTTAGAATGACTGAAATGATTGCATTAATAATGATTGAGTTGAAATTTGCTACCTATGCATTAATACGAAGCAAGAATGTTATTTACACAAAACAGAACAAGAGTGTTTTTTTTCTTTTATAGAATAAATACTGTATAGCTGATTAAAGACACCTATCCTACAGATTAAAAGTTATTTTCAAAATAAAGGTGCTTAGCTCCTTTTGAATTCACACAAATGTTACTGGAATGCCACATATAAATCTCATATGGATTGCTAGAATTGTATTATTGTTATCTATGGTGAGGTCTTATGTTTCATCAGGATCTGTTGGCCACTACCAGATATACTGCACAGATGCTCAACCTTGACAGCAGTATTCTCTGTTAAGTAATATTGTTGAAATGATTAAACACTCAAACTGTAATTTAACAAATTGACCTGCATGTCTCAATGATACTGCAAACAAATTCATAATTAAAAACTGGACATTCTGGTACTTAAATAAAGGCAATCATTATTTTAATATAAGAATTGTTTAACAATTAACAATAAAGCAGATGTGGCTCAGGATGTACAGTGGGTATTAGTGAGCATTAGATTAGTCAGTTTGGCACCTTTTATGACAGACCTGCCATCAGTGTATAATTAGTTTAATATTGGCATTTAGTGAAAAAGCTTTGGAATGGTAAGAAAAGATTGCTCGGATGAAAATAATATCCCCTATCAATCACCTAACCAAACATGTGACAGAAGAACTGCCATTTCCCATGATATCCAGCGGACAACTCCACCAAATGTATAAATTAAGGTGCGCGGAATTATAAGCAGCACTGTATTATAGGCAAAAATACCTGCAATTATAGGCAGGGATAGCATATCCATACAGCTCATGGATGTAAAAATGGGATGCTACTTAACATTATTTGATGATTTTAATGTTACATTCAGTTAAATAAGCAGATGTTCTCTTTCAGATCAAATCTAAATCCAAATATTCACAGTATTGTTTGTTGACAATCTAACTTAAAGATGACCTATCATGCAAAATGCACTTTTGTACGTCTTTTTTACATGAATATGTGTCCCCGGTGTTCCAGGGAACTCACCAAGTGTCTACCCAAATCTCTTAAAAAGGGGCTGCAACGGATCTGATACAGACTGATCCAGATTTGAACACTTCTGTGACGTCACAGAAGTGGCTCTACAGCTATTGGGCCAACTCCACCAATCAGGAGGAGACAGCCACGGACATTGCCGTTCGAAAGCGCTGGAGATGCTGTAGTACATATGCCAGGCCTGTAGATGGTGTTGTTCTCACAGAATCAGCCCATGAAAAGACAGTGTTAAATTGAGCGAAATGAGGAATGGCTAAGATGCATGATCTGTTTGGTATTTTGAAAAATAAAAAGTATAAATATGCCTTATACTGTATAGGTATGGTCCTACACTATATTATTCAAATATAGCATGATAGGTCCACTTTAAATATTCCCTAACATACCATTGGTTCAGAAAGTAAATTACTGAAATAACAGGAAGTAATGCTCTACTACTCACCTACTCCTGCACGTTGGGAAGCAACAATGCCGACAGAATGGTCACCTTTGAAGAAAATGTTCTTGTGATCGGAGTGGGCAGTGAAATGCATGGACAAGTAGGTCTGGATCCTTTCCAATGAATCTTGTGGGACAAAGTCTCTTTTGAACTGACTGAATGCAGTAGGGATGTAAGTGTGCTCTCTGTCAGAGCTGCAAAATATCACTAACCTGTAATTATGTTTAAACAGGGAACGCAGTTTCTGAAAACAGTTCTCCATTGCGCAGCTAATGTCATAGGTTAGCTGATCTGCCCAAAGCATTGTATAAATCTTCTGACCAATGTCACCTGGTGTGAGACATCTCCTTAGGAAAAGCTCTACTTGCTCATAAGATGTTTTAGGGGTACACAGGAGAACCTCATCATAACTAGGCAGTGGATTATATTCACTGTTCATGTACACACAGATGCTTGAAGTCAGGACCTCATTTTGTGAACAGATTATGAGATTTGGTTGGTTTATTGAGAGGCTTTTTGGGAGAATTCTTCGGACTGACTTGTCCTTCACCTCTGAAAGCACTGGTTCTGCCCATGCATTTTCACTTTGGTCTTCTGTGGCAGCCATTGTTTCCAACAGTACCCCTAAACTCCTTATGTCCAAAAGGTCATGGAAAAATATCTCCTCGTTCTTCATGTAGGCATTCCATAACCCTTCCAGTTCTTTTAAATCAACAGTCTGGTAAGCCTTTTCTTCTTGATCATTGGCTTCAAAATGATCAGCTGAAGACATGTCGCTGTTTTCCTGATGAAGAAAGTGACTTTGGAAGTGAGCACCTTCATTAATCCTCTTGCCTGGCTCAAATTGGTCTTGAAACCTTCTCCATGTGCTCCAGACATCTGATGTTGTGCAGTTTGGTTGAATGAAAGAGAGCATCATCAAAGCTTTGTCCTCCATTTCCTTATTTACATTTGATGGAGTCACAACACTACAAAGGTAGAACATTTGTTCTGCTGTAAAGTAGTTTAAGTAGTAGTGATCAGATCTCTGTTTGTCCATGAAGTTTCGCCAGTCTTCAAGAAACAACTCCATCGTATTAGAAAGTGTTATAAGTTGTTCAACTAGACTTCCGCGTACATGAATGCAATGCAGGGTCTTGCAAAAGTTGATTTCCATAATGATACATGGGTCGTTCTGAGTATTGCAAGAGATCTTGGCTTCCCAACATCTGAAGAGTGGGTTGCCTGCAGCATAAAGCTCTACAAATGCTTTGGCAAGTCTTTGGACATTGTCAAACACCTGAAAATGAAAAAGATAAAAGATAAGTGATTAAAGTCCAAGTAAAAAACCAAAGCATGAATTATTTTATTTGTACTTTCTATTAATTTATATTATTTATACACTCTTCATAGCAAAATCCCAAATATATATATATACAACACCTCAGCAAAGTGTTCAACTTCAGTTAGATTTTGTTCCCCTCTTCCAGACATGAGCATAAGCTTATTTTGCAACTCTTTCAGGTCGTCATAGGTGCATGCTAAGCTTTTCTCATGTCCATCCTGAATTTGCAGCATCAGGGAAGTCTCTAAAGAAAGCTTTAAAAAGAACATCAATATGATACATTACTGTTAAGTGTTCTTAAGTAAAAAGAGCAGTTTTTACAGTTGTAAAAGTCTACTCGAAACGTTTTTATCTGAGCTGTATGTGACTATATCACAAATGTTGTCATTATTATCTTTCAAATTAAAGCATACAATATATCTTGTCAATTTTAATGTACCTTTTTCTGATTTTGGGCCTTAATGGTGTATATCCCTCTCTCATTGATGGATGTAGCCAGGGACAGAGATGACAATTCAACAGATCCATGGCTTTCCTTTACAGTCTTTAGCCATTCCAGATGGCGTGCTGTATCCCGCTGAAAACAGATATCAAATAAAAAAGTCGTACTTAAGTTATGATCAAATTCTTTATATTTTTTCTTTAAAAGTTCTTTAAAGTATAACAATTTATCTATTTTATTTTATTGGATAAAATACAACTTCTCCAAAAACATTTAATAATAATAATATTGGGAAGGATGAAACCCTCTTTAATGGTCACACATGCAGAGCACACAGCACACACAGTGACATTTGTTCTCTGCTTTTAACCCATCCTAGTACCAGGAATCTAGTACTAGGAGCATTCGTTTAAAAGGTTGCATTTTACACATTTTTGCACAATTGTGTTATTTAATCTTTAATAAGGCCTTGATTCTTGAATAATTACTATTCCTTTAGACAACATTTAATTTGCAAACTGTATTGCTGAAACTTGTAAAACAGGATGGAGTCCACTAAAGCAAGCCCTACACTGATCCTAGTGGCCCCAAGCGTAACCATATCATTTATTTAATTATTTCTTATTAAGATTTTGGAGAGCTACTCCATGTTTCCACATCGACCTACCAAGATTTTTGTAGTTGTGTGTACTGCATCATATAATCATTACGTTTAGACATTATGATGGATTCTTGTTCGATTTTAATTTTTGAAGTTCAAATTTAGTTAGACTACAGTGGCACCATAAAGGATGGAATCTCACCAGTTTCGTTGGTATATTTCTGTCATTTTCAAGTGCCTTCCACAATTTTGGCAATGACTCTTTGAAAGCCACAAAATCAGAGTCCTTCTTCAGTCCATATAATAGCGAAGAGTAACCGAGAACAGCATCATGAAAACAGGCCACTCGATCCACATCCAGATCATTTTCTCCAGCAGAGATAGATGCCAGGTCAACAAACACTTTCAGCTCATTGATATCTGCAATAAATAAAAAAACCTTAAGCAGATACAAATCGTTGTGTTTATCAACAAAAAAATAAATAAAATGGTGTCATACCTTCAAGCGCTTTTTTAACCCATAGGACAAACTTGAGGCTCAGACTGAGATTCTGAAGACATTCCTTACGATCATTTGTAATGTCCATCAGAACAGTTTTGACTCTCATGAAGGAGTGATCTATGACATTTAGGCTGCTTTTCTTGAAGTCATCTTGATTCTGAAAAAAAGATGATTTAGAGTATGAAACCATTGATTTTATGATTGTAGTTTGGATAGCTCTGTAAAAGTCTGTAGGACATAAAGATTATGACTGCAAAAAGTTACATTTAAAAAAAAAAATCTCTATTATCTAAGTAAACTATTTCAATTTCCTGACTTTAAATTGTTATTTATCATACCATTTGCAGCAATTTCTCGAGTACTTTGAAGTCTCCTTCTGGACATATTGTGTTCCTGATATCCATGATGATTATGGCAGATTCCATTGCAAGACCAAGATCATGGTACTGTTGGATTTGCTGAATCCTTCCCCTGACCCAACTTCTGTTATCAGATGGATTTATTCTGCACATCATATCAAAATCCTTCTGCAACTCTTCATACTTTCCTCTGTAGTCCTCAAAGATGCAGTCTATTTCCTCCAGAAACAGATCGCCACTCTTCAGACCATCATAAAGCCCTCTGTACTTGCTGTAGCAGCTCTGGAATATTTTACTGTAGATCAGGTCAAAAGTGTAGAGTTCCTCATTGACATGGAATTGTTCAGTGTCATCTGTATCTGATCGGTCTCTTGACAACTCTTCCACTTGATTCGTCCAGCACATCTTGAAGATTGCACTGTCTTTAATGGCATGAAGTTCTAACGCCATTTGACGGGTAGCATCGCATAGGTTGAAAAAAGTGACCTTCCCAATTGAAGCTGAGGTCTGTCCATCAAGAATGTGAGGTTTCATAAATTCATTCAGATTCATCATCTCAATGTTCTGATGATTTTTTTTGTCCAATCCATTGTAGTCAACTGTTGATTGAAAATATTCTTTATTATATGGAATGTAAGTTTATTAACAGGTTCCCTCAATCTTAAATCTACTATATCATTTATAGTTATCCAAGCTATACAAAGAACTAAACAGGTCACTTTCAATATAAAAGGGCCGCTTTCACGCCAAGCGCCGCTTTCACACCAAGTACTTTGCCGTACTTAGTTCCCAGCTCTTAGTACCCCCATGGAACTAAGAGCCAATCGCGTTCACACCGGAATAAGTTCCCTGAGGGAAGATTACGCAAATGAAGCCGCTGACGTCACTTCTTCTTCTTCTGCTATGGGTTTACTGGCAGCCCGCAAACAACTTCACGGCGTATACTGCCACCCGGAGTCCCCGACCGGAAGTCCCCGGAGTTGGGGACTGGCTTCAGTAGAAGCTGCTGGGACTCCCAGCAGCTTCTACTGAAGCCTTCCGAGTAAATCGCCAGAACGCCGACACCTCCTCATCTCCACCGCTCCCATGTTTTTCGATTAGATTTATGATCCGAGTCATCGGATCATGGGCTCCGAGTCAGAGTCATCGTGCGCGAGAATTCACGAGTCCGAGTCGAGTTTGCGTCAATCACTGCGTGAGTCGAGTCGCGACTCCCGAAAATCGGTCCAGGACTGGAGTAGGCCTACTCCATCTCTGCCTTGTCTTGCCGCAAGAGAAAAAGCATTTGAGCTCCATACTGTTTCAGAAATAATCCTTGATGTGGTTTGGAACATGATGACGTTTAGTCACGGCAGAATTTAACTGTATCTGCCGGTAGAATTCTGAGCAGGCTCCCCCTCCTCTTTTTTTTTTTTTCAAACTAAGGACCCAAAATCAGCATTTATCTAACAGGGCTGGAATGGGATATGAGGGATGTCTAAAATGCATGATCTGTTTGGTATTTTGAGGGTTTATTTTGTATTTAATATCTGAGACCCATAATATTTGCTTACAAATAGCATAATATTAGACCTTTAAGTTCATTCATTCATTATAAATGTGTCTTTGAAGAAGTGTGACATTCATTTCCATCAGTTATTCAACATTTCCTTGGCTTGGTAGTGATTTTGTACTGTGCAGTGTGGTCTATTGTGTTCATGATTTTCCTCCTCCAGGTTGACAGCAGCCTTTTGGGATGGAAGGCACAAGCAGCGGCTGGGCAGCAGAGCTCACCCCTCCCTGTGTGATGCATGCTGGGACTGGGAATGACACGGGTCAGGTCTTTGAGGTGGCGCTGCAGAACGGCTCGTCCAACCGCAGCCACCAGTTTGTGGGAGTGGAGCTGCTGCAGTCCTTCAAGCTGCTCATCATCCCCTGCTACACTCTGGTGGCTCTGGTGGGCGTCTTCGGAAACTACCTGCTCCTCTACGTCATCTGCCGCACGCGCAAGATGCACAACGTCACCAACTTCTTCATTGGAAACCTGGCCTTCTCTGACATGCTGATGTGTGCCACGTGTGTCCCCTTCACTCTGGCCTACGCCTTCAACCCACACGGCTGGGTGTTTGGCCGCTTCATGTGCTATCTGGTGTACCTCATCCAGCCGGTGACGGTGTACGTGTCCGTCTTCACTCTCACTGCTATTGGTGTGGACAGGTAAGACTGAGCCAGATACAAGTGGACAGAATACATAAACCCCACAGGGAATATCTTAATGTGTCCTGAACTCAACTGACAAATCCTTTAATGCTTTGTGAGGTTAGCTGAGCCACACTGTTATATAACACGTACTAAAGAAAAATAATAGGGTATACAAAATTCCTCTCAATTAATGTCAATGTCTCTTTTCGAACATCATTAAAGATGCCATTGTGTAATAACTTTGACGGATGTCAGCTGTGGAAATAAATTAAGAGTTTCTTGGATAATATTTGTTTTCTTAAAGAGGAAATATTATGCTAATATTCAGTTTCATATTTTCATATTTTGTGCCTCTACTGTGATATCTTCACAGGGGGGGGCGGGGGGGATAGACCATTTACAAAACCTATATAACATACTGTAGCAAATGGACAAAGAATAAGATTGATCATGCAAATCATGAAACAGTCAACATTTCCAGGATAATACACTTTGAAGTGTTTTTCTCTCCTCCGTGTATATTTGAGTGGAACATAACATGCTGCTGGTTTAATGGGTGCTTTATGATTGACCTGTTATAAGATAATATTACCACCTGAATGGCTGCTCACACTGCAGATGCTCTCAACATCGAAACCATTACATAATGCACTATCCCTATCCTTTGAGTAACTCCAAATGTAAAAACTGTCTGACTGAGGGGAATAACGGATGGGAAATTATTTATCAGATTATAACCCCCCCCCCCATTGCTCAGCACTCCAAGGTGTTGTGCTCATTACACCAAACTGGGCCCGAATCCTCCTTTGTTGGTCCCCATGGATACAGTGGCAGAGCTGAATTGGATTTGACTTTTATGAAAGCTTCGTGAACATTTTTTTGTATTTAACATCCGTTCCTTGTATGAAACCGTTAATTTGTCAAGGACTGCTTTCTATGGTAATTTTTAAGGCTTTGGTACTTAACAGCTGTGCTTCCATTTGCATGTTGTGATTGCTGTTGGCTTGTGAATGCTGTTTTCTTCCATGACTCATATCTGGCATGTTTCTATATTTTTTTCCACTGGTTTGGCTAGGTAGATCTAATCTAACCTAGACCCGGAACAAAACTAACAAAGGGTAACCTGTTCTCTGCTTCTTTATAGATACTACGCCACAGTTCATCCTCTGAAGAAGCGCATCTCAGTGGTGGCGTGCACCTACCTGCTGTCGGGGATCTGGCTGCTGTCCTGCACTCTGGTGGCTCCAGCTGTGGCTCACACCTACCATGTGGAGTTTAAGAACGAGGGCTTCAGCATCTGCGAGGAGTTCTGGATCGGCAAGGAGAACGAGCGTCTGGCCTACGCGTACAGCACCCTCTTCATCACCTACGTCCTGCCTCTGTCCGCGCTCTGCATCTCGTACCTGTGCATCTCGGTCAAACTGAGGAATTGTGTCGTGCCCGGCCACCACACCCAGAGCCAGGCTGAGGCTCAGCGGATGCGCAAACGCAAGACCTTTCGGCTGGTGAGCCTGGTGGTGGCGGCCTTCGGCGTCTGCTGGATGCCGATCAGTGTGTTCAACGTGCTGCGGGACATTGACTTTGACCTGATCGATAAGCGCTACTTCCTGCTCATTCAGCTGCTCTGTCACCTGTGTGCCATGAGCTCGTCCTGCTGTAACCCCTTCCTCTACGCCTGGCTGCACGACCGCTTCCGCGCTGAGCTCCGCAAAATGTTCACGTGCCGCAGTCGCATCGGCATCTCGGCTAACAACTGCGCCACAGCTAGTGTGGTTCTGTGAAGCTTTGTTCAGTCCTGACTTCTTTACTGTATGTTCAAGTGCATTGGGTATATTCAATTCATTTTAGTGACAACTCGGATTAAAATAGTAAGTATCTTTTGTTTTAATATTAGTTGTTGGGCTGCAAGTGGTCTGGCAAGCAGGGAATCTAACTGCAGACTTGTGATAGTGATCCAGCTTTGTTCCAAGGAAAGCCGCATTGAGCGCACCATAATTCAGTGGCCCAGTATCGTAAGTGCTGCCTTAGTGTTTATCAACTTCGCTTATAAGAGAAATCCACCAATTTAGCTTTACACTTAAGAAACATTGTCATACTCACCATAGACCAGTAGACAAAAACATGGATCATAATCAATGCATCAAAACCAGAGATATTCTCTTTGTTTCCCATACATTCCTACATTACCCACAATGCAGCTTGAACACTGACAGTGGCCGTTTCTCAATTTCGAGTAAAGCTGCTGCAGAGCCACTGGCCGTTTCTCAATCGCGAGGATACTGGCTTGGTAGTCGCATACTTCCAAGTCACTTCCTTCAGAAACGAAGCAAGTATACTTCCAAGCCACGGCTTCGGAAAACAAAGAAGAATGGAACAGGCTAACAAGTGTGCCACTCTCTCTAACGGTTTCAACATAAACTGTACCGAAAATAAATACCTCACGATGTCTATCTAATTATGAACTTGCTTTACTTTCACGGAACACATTTTTGGTATTAACAAACGCAACAAAGTAACATATTTACCAACACATGTTCTACGCCACTACATACTTACATTTAAATGTGTGCTGCATCGGTTCAGCCATTCTCCGCAAGGGTTTTTGAAATTGATCCGTGCGCAAAGCATTGTGGGGATTTGAAGGACGCGAAGTCTACCCATGTGCAGCCTCGAAATTAC